ACATTTGACACATTTGTCCCTGGCACGATCCCCGGAACCAACATCCCCTACTCCATCATTCACGACAGGGAATTTCTCGCGCTAATGTTAACAACGGCGAACGAAGAAGAAGAGCACGAGGAAGCAGCGGCGACACCTGCCCAAGCACCTGATGAGGACCCCGCAGAGGCACTCGCGCGCTACATGCGCACCTCCGGTTTTCGCGCCGACGATGCCATCTGGCACCAGCGCCTAGGTCACCCCTCGCGCGTGACCCTAAAGAACTGTATCGAGGCCGGCGTCTTCGCACCTGGCGCACTGCTGCGCCCTGACGGCTCCGAAGTAAGAGGCGGAACTCACCCGCGCACCTGCACCATTTGCCCCGAGGCCGCGCTGAGTCACCAGCCTTTCCCCCTGCTCGAACCAGGAACCAACCGCTACGCCAAGTTTACAGTGACTTTCTCAACGTGGGACATTGCGGCATCAACGACGAACTCTACACGCTCACCTTCGTCGACGCCGGAACACGCCACGTGTGGGTCGTAAACGTGGAAGCACGCAGCAGACCATACGAAGCATTCCGCCTGTGGCTGGCACACGCGCAGCGGCAATCCGGGGAGAAGTTGAAGATCTGGCAGTCCGATGGCGCGGCGGAGTTCAGGAGCAAGGAGCTGCAGGATTACCTTGCGCAAAAGGGGATCGAGCATCACGTTTCCCTCCCCTATGCACACCAACAGCAGGGCGTAGCAGAGCGCACGAATCGCACTCTCATGACGAAGGTGCGAGCGCTAATGAGGCAGTCGAAGCTTCCGCCGATCTACTGGACCTACGCAATGCACCACGCCGTGCGGGTGCACAACCTACTGTCAACTACCGCAATCACCGGGAACTCCTCACCACACGTGACATGGACGGGGAGGAAGGGCGACACATCCATGCTCCGCGTGTGGGGGTGCATGGTCCAGTACCGCCCGCCAACATCAACCATCGGCAAGTTCAAAAGCCGCGCGCGCTGGGGGATCCATCTCGGGATCAGCCACGAGTACAAGGCGTGGATCATTCTGGATCTCCTGAGCCAGAAAATCAAGAACGCGCGTGACGTCATCTTCTACGAGCGCCTCTTCCTCCAGCAGTTCCGCGAAGACGAGCAGACGAACGCGAACCGCGTCTACGCCAACGACGGCCACAGCTACGCCTCACCTGAGGACGAAGCCGCAGCAGCAATTCTGGAGCAGGACCCCAGAGGCGAGTTCACGAGAGGCGATCGACGCAACGACGACGATGACGACGACGACGACGATGATTCAGGAGAAGGAGGAGCGGGCGCAGCATGAGGCGCAACAGGAGGAAGCAGAAGCGGAAACGGCGCAGGAGCAGCACCATCAGCCCCACCAGAACCAGAAAGCGACGACGACGATGTGCAGGAGGTCATCCCGCAGCATCGCCACGACAGCACCGTCACCGGAATGCAACTCCTCGGGCTCCATGCTGCCATCTCAACGGCGCCACGTGTCATCGAGCCTAAGAACCCACGGCAAGCACTCACGGGACCTCACAGCAAGGAGTGGCGCGAGGCAATTGATGCGGAGATCAGGGCACTCGAGTCACGCGACACCTGGGTACTCGTCGATCGTGCAGCAGTGAAGGGGAGAAGGATCCTCTCCGGCAAGTGGGTCTTCCGCGTGAAGACCGGAGCTGACGGGACGATCGAGCGCTTCAAGGCGCGCTGGGTAGTGCGCGGCTACGACCAGAGGCACGGGATTGACTTCGATCAAACGTTTGCGCCGGTGAGCCGTCACACCTCCGTCAGGATACTCCTCGCCATCGCAGCCGCACGACATCTGCCGCTCCGACAGATCGATGTTAAGAACGCATTCCTGTACGCGCTCGTAGATGCAGTGATCTACGTGGAGCAGCCGCACACATACGGCGAAGGAGATTCGCGGGTCTGCCAGCTGCGGAAGTCCCTTTACGGGATCAAACAGGCGCCGAGACTTTGGCAGCAGTACCTGCACAACATACTGCTTGAAATCGGGTTCAAGCAGCTGCCTCACGATCCTGGGATGTATCGCCGCGATTTCCGCGGTGAATACATCCTACTCACGGTCTACGTCGACGACCACCTCTACACAGGGTCAAGCAACGAGCTGCTTGAGCAATTCGAGAAAAACCTCGCAGGGCGCGTCGACATCACCTGCAATCATGACGTGAAGCAGTTTCTCGGGCTCAACATCACCTACTCGCCGGAAGCCATTCATCTCTCAGCAGCGAAGTATGCAGAGGAGCTTAGCAAGCGCTTCAACATTGCGCCTGCACCACTCTCCACCCCTTACCGCACTCCAGGACCCAACCACAAGCCTGACAACAAAGCCCTGTCCCCTGCTGGGCTTCACACCTACCAGCAGCAGTTGGGATGCCTGCTCTTTGCATCTGTTACCTGCAGGCCCGACCTTTCCTACATCGCGAGCCAGTTGGCTCAGTACTCTCGCAAACCAACGGCTGAGAATCTACTAGATCTCCAGCGGGCGCTCCAGTTCTTTATCTCCACGCCCAGCATCGGGCTCTGCTACTCCACCATCCCAACTTCATCCTTCAACCTCATCGGCTACGTGGACGCCGATCACGCCGCTGACCCTGACAATCGACGGTCCAGGACAGGCTTCCTTTTCCGTCTCAAGCCCAGCGGCCCCATCTCCTGGAATTCACAGAAACAGGAGCTGGTTGCCCTGTCATCAGCCGAGGCTGAATTCATCGCAGCAACATCAGCCGTTCGCGAAGGCCTCTACCTTCAGGAGCTACTGCAGGAGGCGAAAATTCCAGCCTCGACGAATTTTCGCCTACACTGCGACAACCAGAGCGCGATCAGGATCGCGAACAAGCCGGGATTCGTAAATCGGACCAAACACATCGCGCTGCGGTACTTCTTCGTCAAGGACGAAGTTGACAAGGGCAAGGTTGACCTAACCTACTGCCCGACGGGTGACATGGCAGCTGACTTCCTCACGAAGAAGCTGTCACGTCAGCAATACCAGCACTGCTCCGAACTCAGCGGGGTAGTCAAGCGGGTCAAGACTCGCTACGGCCAGGAGTGAAGGGGGGTGTTACGAATAGTGATTATTGAAACACTATTGTACACTCCTCACCGCAGCAATCGAAGCACGCACTACCGAGAATGAAGACGAACAGGCGGAAGTGACACGAAGAGTCACACGGTTACGAAAGGATCTGGACCGACGGGCAGACAGCATCAGGCAGCAGCAGTGGCGAGGATTCTGCCCGAACAGTTTCGTAACTGTCTGGAGTCGCACGGTTGGATTTCGCTGCAATAAGGGAATGTATCCCTTAGAGTACATGGCTAGCTAGGTCGATTGGTATCCCCTTGTAATCTTATTTATATTCCTTGTACTGCATGTTTTTATTATCTCAAGCATTTACATCCACTCTGCTATTGAGGTCAAGGGCCCACCACCGCTAGATTAGGACTGTGCGAACCTTCCTGAGGTGATCCTGAGGGTGATCAACTTCTGATCGCAACAGCGGGAGTCGTGGTCGAGGCGAATGTCGCGAGCGGGTAACGTTCACGGATGGGTGCTGATGGCGGGAACAGGCATGTACGCGGTAAGCAGGGACGCGAAGTAAGGAAAAGGAACTTTCCTTACACTTCTTCACAAAACACCTGGCCCCTAATATATTGTGAATCTACCAATTTGGTATGTGTTTCAATGTGCTGTATAATTGACAGGACATATTTGGGCTGAACGCGCTCTCGCATCTGGATCAGGTGCACTGACTCCATCATGTTTACCGAGCACAAACATTTTCGAATCCCAACCAGCATTTCACCTTCACGCAACTCTAACCAAACCTCTCCGCTCCGCGTCACCGTCGCCAGAAGCTGACGGGGCTTCGTTCTGGGACGAATTGAAGAAATTCCAAACCGAACCAAGGCTTGATCCCGGAGGTTCCCCTCACAAGTCACGAGCAGAAAACAGATTCCCGCCTACACTACGCAGTCGCGGAGTTGCCTACGACCGTGAATTCCTTCGCCCTGGCCTGGCCTAAACACGTGGAATAGGTGGCACTAGGACAGGGCTCGAGCTCGCGCCACAGGAATCTGGTGGAAGTTTTTTACGCGCCCGCCAGACGTCGAGTCAACCCCGATACGAGCGGGAAAGACACCGTGCCTCCAAGATCGAGGGTTACCCTCAGTCGAAACATTCGGAAAAGGTTTGCCCTGTGTTGCACCAATCTTCCCACCAGTGTGTACGAAATTCTGCAACTACTCTAGATGTTTTTGTGGATATTACGAACTGTGAGGGGAAACCCAGACCACCAGCCGATGTCGTACATCGCGGAGAACCAGAGAGGCGTGGTTTGTTCACATGCACAGGGGGAGAACAGGACATGGGAGGGCCTTGTCCAAGGATGGGCAGGCAGTATTTGCTGAAGCGGGAAAAAAAGGTCCGGCCGTGTCCGTCCATCTCCATGAGATGACGGGACGGGAATCATCCAGACGGAAACTATTTTTTCCAGGTGGTATTTACCCTGTCCGTGGACCCCCGAAACCCACGGAAGCTCACCTCGTCCTCCTGTGTTGTCGGAGCAGCATCGGTGGGTGCCGCTCGTCCCTCATGAGCATTGGGCACCCACGCTGCAGCGAGGACAGGGATCCCACAGGTGAAGCTAGTTTCTAAATTCGAATCCTTATGTCGCTCTAGGTTAGATAAGGCTTCTGGTTATGGAGTCTAAGCCAGGAGGAAAATTTCGCCGTTCATCCCGTTTTTGTTTGGCATACCTGAAGTACAAAACCCTTAAATCGTTGAAAGTAGTGAAGGCATCTAAAAAACAGAGAGACAGTTTGTTTTGGCTCGCGCCGAGTCGTCTGGTAAGCAAAGCTTAAGAACCAGTGGAAGTAGCAGTAGTATCTTCCGCAGTCGGAGGCGGTTTCGGATCCACCCACCGAGTGCCGACCCTTGATTCGCTCTAAGAGAGAGGGAGGGAGACAAGCGGCGCGACGAGCGATGTCGTCCGGAGCCATCGCGACGGACGCATCGGCGAATGGCGCGGCGGCGTCGCCGCCTCCGCAGAGCAACGGCAACACGGCGATGACATACGCGTCGGTGATCTCGCTGCACCAACTCAACATCGCCGTGATCGCCGTTCTCGTGCTGCTCGTGCTGCTCGTGCTCGTCCTCTCCATCGCCAAGGCGCGCTCCACGTGGCTCCACCGCCGCGCCGTCTTGCGTCAGCAGGCGGAAAGCGCGCAGAACCTTCGGCCGGTCGGTCAGCGCGGTTTGCTGGTCGACGACCGACCAGGGAACGGTATTCCCGAGGAGCTGATAAAGCTGCTAGGGCAGGTGGTGGCGTTCGAGGCGGCGAAGGTTGGCGGGGAGTGCGAGAGCGAGCGCGAGTGCATCGTGTGCCTGGGGGAGTATAACGAGGGCGACATGGTGCGCGTGCTGGACGCGTGCCACCACATGTTCCACCAGGTGAGACACGTGTCAGCACATGTGTTATTATTTGAGACACGAGTTTCGTCAGGTGATGCGTGTTCTTGGCTGGACGAAGGCGTAGCATGGATGAAGGGTGAAGGTGTAGTGGGAGCATGGACGAAGGCGTGTGACACCCTCGTGAGGGTGTGAGCGAGCGAGCTGGAGCAGCAACCTAGGGCGGGACGCTGTGAGCGAGTGATGGAGCTACAGCAGTAAGGGGCTCTAGGGCTCAGGGTGTGAGCAGTAAGGGGCCGTTCGGCGCAGGGTGTTGGCAGTACGGGCCGTAGTCGCCCGTAAGGAGCGTCGATAGGGCCTGGCGTCTCGCCATCGCGGACCAGCGTGATAGACGGCGCCAGGTGCGCCAATTCTGCTGCTACTTCGCATGCCACTCCCTCCAAGATTCCCCCCGTCTTCTAGATCGCCGCCTCATTCCCCCTCCCCCCTCCTTTAACCGTTTCCCCCCTTCCCTTCCCCCTTCTTCCTCCTCGTCCCCCCTCTTCTCCCCCTTCCCCTGTGCTCCTTGCGCATCATGCTCCCCCTTTCCCCGCCGCCTCTGCGCCCTGGTGTTGGCAGGACTGCATAGACGCGTGGCTCAAGGCCCACAACTCGTGCCCCATCTGCCGCACCGTGCTGCTCCCCGCGCGGCCGTCTCACACTGCTGGCGGGGCGGACGCGGGGCAGCATTTGCACGGCCACCACCACCACAGCCACCACCACCACATGCACCATCACCACCCCCACCACCCCCACCACCACCACCACCACGACCCCGAAGCTGCTCTTGGTCATGCACACCCATCCCCGGACCAATCGTACCCATCCTTAGACGAATCTCACCCATCTCCGAACCAATCACGACCATCTTCGGACCAGCCAGGTTCATCTCCTGACGAATTAAGCCCATCCCCGGACGAATCGGGTATATCGTTGGTCCATTTGCATCTGCACACGGACCAATCACGTGCCGCTCATGGCCAGCTGCATGAGGTGCAGGAGCAGAGCGGTTACCACGGCAGCATCACTGCTGTGAATGTCGAGGGAGGAGAGGTTCCTGAAGGCAGCGATAGGGATCCTTTCGTGGCTGTGCCTATGCCCGAAGCAGTGACTGGGGCTCAGGTCGCTGTGTCGAAAGGCTTGCTGGTAAAAGAGAGGGCGGAGTGTAGAGGAACGGGGCATGTGGGTGTGGAGATTGATGAGGCAACACAAGGCAGCTGTTGTGCTGCTGGTGGAAATGGTAGCACACGTCATGAAGACGTGGGGGGTCGTGGTGGAGGGAGAGGTGTAGAACCCTCGCAATTGCATGTAGCAATGCAAGTCTGAAGGGCGGTGTGCCCTTCTAGCCAATATGTAGGCATGCTGCTAGCAGTCAATGCTGGCACACTACGAGCATTATTGTGTATAGTTTTGTTTATATCCCGAATATGTATCTCACATATGAAACATGTTTTATTGCTCTCTATCCATTCATACTCGTGAGCATAAAACGAACCATTTTGGCAGTGCTTGCTTGTTTTGCTGGCGGGGTTGAATCCCCCCCAAGCACTTTTGTTCTGGCAGCTCAAACGAACATGTCAGGATGTGTCAGCAATCAATCGCTGATTGCTTGAAGCTTGTTGCAAATCGCCCCTGTCGGATCTGACTTGTGGTCTGCTCGAGGCGCAAGCGTTGCCGTTAATCGAGCCGCGTGAACACATGCGACTGAAATTCATCAGAATTTCTCACCAGCTCCAGCATTTGCTGGTTTTCGACAACACCAAACCCAGTCGACTTTCCCTTGATTTCATAAACAGCACTCGCACATTCCAGCATACTGGTTTGGGCAGGTGAGTTCGCACATCCCACTGCTCTTCCGCTTTCTGCTTCTGATCATTCGAGCAACGCACGGTGACGTTAGAGAAGAGATCAGATGCTGGTATAGGTCCCTGTCACGGTTCTTGTTTCGGGGCTGTCTCAACCTAGACCCTGGCTAAGGTTCCCCAACAAGAATGAGTCACTCGTCCATCACGAGTCGCTCCTCTCGGGCCTTCCTAGTCGCGGTTCTCGTGTTCTGCCTCTCCCATACCCCTCCCGTCTTCGCATCTCTGCCGGCCTCGGGATCACTTTACTCTCCGAACTCACCATCCATACGCAACCATGACAAGTACTCATTCGCTGCGTTTCGGGAATTCTTCGCGGATAAAACAGGGCTATTTCAATCAAATCACGCGCTTGACCATCCTGAAGCGGTTATCGGACCTCCGTCTAACGAGTCTTTGAGGCCGTTCAGCCGGTATTTGCAGTCCTCCTCCTCCTCTCTCTCCGACTGCCCCTTCACCACCACCAACCCCCTCCACACCTGCGCCGTGGGCTACGCCGCATCTGCCGGCGTGACAGGCGGGTACGGGAAGCCTGCCTACGTGGTGACCAACGCCGACGACTCACTCCCAGTCGGCACCAACGGCTCGCTGCGATGGGGATTAACGCGCGCATATGCCGCTGCGGGAACCAACGGCATCTACATCACGTTCGCGAAGAAAATTGACGTTTTGCTCCTTGGGCCGCTAGCCGTGCCGTCGGGCACGACAATCGACGGGCGGGGAGTTGCCGTCCGGCTCTTCGGGTCGTCCGTCGTGGTTCGCAACGCTCGGAATGTCATTGTGCACAATATCGAAGGTACGACTCGAGGGAGAGAAGATTCGGGTAGCGAAACACGCTCGGAATGTGTAATTTTCCAACATTTCGTTTCGAATCTTCGCTCTTGGGGAACGTAAACAGCCTCGTCGGTCGCACCTAACCCATCTTTCTTCTACGCCCCTTCCACTCCCAATCATGCGATTCCCCTCCATTTTCCAGTGCAAAGCGTGCAGTTCCCCAACGTGAATAGCGGCGTGAGCATCATCGACAGCACGGTAGTGTGGCTGGATCACGTGCGGGTGCGCGACGCTGTACCGGGGGCAGTGGAGGTCGTTGGCAGTAGCGCGGGCAGTGCCGGCAGTGTGACAATATCGAGCTGCCACCTGAGGAACGTGTATCTGCCGGGTGTGACGATAAGGGGGCCGGGAGCGGGATCGCTAGGCAGTATCGTCAGCACCCGCAGCTCCAACAGTAGCGGCGGCAGCGGGGGAGGCGGAGGGAGCGGCGGAAGCGGGGGTAGTGGCAGTGGAGGCGCAGGAAGCAGCAATAATAGCAGCAGCGGCGCTGCAGGCGGCGGCGACGGCGGGAGAAGTAAAAGAAGGAAAACGCAAGCGACCAGTGGCAGCAGCAAGAGCAGCGGGAATGGCACCAAGACGATAGGCACCAAGAGCACCAACAGCACGAAGAGCAGCAACAGCAGCACCACGAGTTCAGGAGCCAAGTCTACGAGTCCCCCTAAAAGCCCCACCTCACCCCCTAAAAGCCCCACCTCACCCCCTAAAAGCCCCAGCTCCCGCCGAAAGGCCCCAGCTCCCCGCCCAAAAGCCCAGGCTCCTCGAAAGCGCCGAACGCGCCGAAAGCGGCGAGCCCACCTGGCGGCGCGAGCAGCAGCACCAAGAGCGCCGGCGGCAACGCCTCTCCTCCGCTGAGCGTGACGCTCTTCCGGAACTGGTTTGACTCGAACAACAACGCCAACCCCCAATGCGCTGCCGCCACGTGTCACCTCGCGAATAACCTGCTGTCGAATTGGCGAACGTGGTGCATCCAGGCGAAACTCGCGGCAAACGTTCGGTCAGAAGGAAACATTTTTCTTGCCGCCGGGCAGAAAGACGCGGCGCGATCAGATGGCTCCTCAATGGTTTCTCTAGGAGACAGGCTTGGGAACGGCGCGGTCTTTAACTCACAAGGGACGGGAATAGTATTCACTCCGCCGTATTCGATCACGCTCGCGGCGCCTGACACGGCGCTAGAGAGCTTTATTCAGCAGTCCGTGGGCCCGCGCGTTATGGCGCGTCCGCCCATGCAGCCCCCCCCTCCCCCTGCTTCCCCGCCGCCTGCTTCCCAGTCGCCTCCTCCCAAATCCCCCCCTCCACTGCAATCTCCGCCTCCGCCCGCGCCCCTCACTAATATCAACATGAATCCTCCGCGTTCCCCGCGCACCCCCCCTCGGTATCCCCCTACTTCTCCGCCACCACCGGTGAACTCTCCCCCGGCCCCCCCCGCTCCCCCGTCCGCGGACCTCCCAGACGCGCAATGCGCGTTTGATTCGGATTTTCCGCTGCACAATTGCTCACTGGGGTTTGCGCGGGGTGTGCTGGGGGGATACGGGCGCAGCGAATATGTGGTAACCAGCTACAACGATAGCATCATCGCGCCTGTGGAGGGTTCGCTAAGATGGGGTTTGCAGCAGTACAGGGACGGAGTGTACATTCGGTTCGATTCGTCTATGACAATCAAGCTTAAAGGAAGACTATTTATATCATCTTATACGACAATTGATGGGCGAGGAGGGCAGATTCGAATCATGGGAGACACGATCGTGGTGCAATCTGCGCAGCATGTGATTATACACAATATTGAAGGTAAGAGCAGGGCGTGGTATCTGCTTGTGTCACTTTCACATCACCTTCTCTCTTTCCTGTTCCTTGACCTCTTCCCCCTCCTCATCCTCTCTCAAACTCCCTGCCTCATTTTCCATTCCCCACACATTCTGCATCCTCTCCCCACCTGATCCTCACCTGATCGACCCCCTCGCCTCCTCTCATCCCCCATCCCGCACACCCCCCTTTTTTCTCTGGCTTCCAGTGGGCGAGGTAGAGCAAGCCCCATTCGGCACGCAGGACGGCATGGCCATCAGGGCCAGCAGCATGGTGTGGGTGGAGCACTGCCTCGTGCACAACGCCCCTCTGGGAACCGTCGACCTCCTCTCATCATCCAACCCCCCCACCCCATTTCCCCTCTGACCTCCAGTGGGCGAAGTAGACGAAGCACCTTATGGCACGCAGGACGGCATAGCCATCAGGGCCAGCAGCACAGTGTGGGTGGACCACTGCCTCGTGCACAACGCCCCCATGGGAACCGTTGACCTCCTCGCCTCCTCAGACGCCGTCACCATCTCATACTGCCACCTCTCCAACTACCTCCTCCCGCTCTCCTCCGCCAACGCCACGTCAGCGCCGGCCCCTGACGACCCAACAAGCCTAGGCACGGACACGGGCACGGATGGGGATGGGGGTACTGGAGAGCCTGATGCGGCTCGGGTTACGTACTTTGGGAATTTCTTTGAGGGGCCGTCGGCACCGATGCTGCACTGCCAGGCGTCGCTGTGCCACGTGGCAAACAATCTGTTTGCCAACTGGACCGACACGTGCATTGTGGCGCGCGGAGGCGCGTCGGTGAGATCTCTCAATAACGTGTATGCCAGCACGGCTGAGGGTGCGGCGGGGATTGTTACTGCAAATGCGGACGGCGCGAGTTTCTTTGTAACGAGCGGGGATCTGCTGCGGAATGGAGTGCGTTTTGTGGTGAGTTTGCCGCCCGGAGCGAGTGGGAGTGCGGACATTCCGCCTCTGCCATACTCTCTACCGGTAGACAAAGCTGACTCAAGCCTTCCAGGCGCGATCAAGGGGAATTCGGGGCCTCAGTTCTGAAGTCAAACAAGTCAATGGAATCAACAAGCGCATGAAGTCGCAGGCTGTTTACCATCTAGCGTGCGTGCTTTTGTACAATAGCAAAGGTTCTTGCTGTTAATCGGACAGAGCATGGTGGGTTCATGTGATGTCTGTAAGCTAATTAAACCCAGGGACTTCCAAAGCAGCTTTTGTGCACTGATATTTTTACGAAAGCAAAGGAACATTCTAGGGCGTCAGGTGCTGCAGGGAAGCATGAAAACGACCCCCGCTGCAGTGCTGCCAGTGCCTGCACTGGCTGGGCCTTTCCACTGACTGTTGACTGAGTCACGTGCGCGCAGTCAAGCGGGGCCCACGAGTCGGCGCGGGCCAAGGTCCTGACGAGGGCGCTGGGGACACACATGGACATCGGAGGGAGCAGGGGGGCGGGGGAAGGTGGTGAGGTGTGCGGTGTTGAAAGTTGGGGGAGAGGGAGATGGGCCTGGGGGTGTGGAAAAGTGAGGATAGGCAGCAGGTGCATGTGGTGTGGTGTAAGTCTTTGCTCTAAGTCACCATCCCATCAATGGCTGCATGGCTGCATGGCTGCATGGCTGCACGGGTGCATGGGTGCATGGGTGCATGGGTGCATGGGTGCACGGCAGCGTGACAGCATGTATAGAGCGTCTATGTGTCAGCAGGGCAGGACTAGGGGCAGCAGGCCATGACTCACAGAGTTGAAGGCGAGGGTGCGGCGGTCGCCCACGAAGCTCAGGAACTCCAACACCTGGCTGTCCGGTACCTTGAGCGGGGCCGCTGTGAGGGGGGAGGAGGCGAAGAGGAAGGGAAAAGAAGAGGGGATTGAGTTAGAGGGTGCAGTGCAAGCAGCACGGTCCCCCACGAAGCTCAGGAACTCCAACACTTGGCTGTCCGGTACCTTGAGCGGGGCGGCTGTGAAAAGGGTGAGAGGAGAGTAGAGGAGGGGAGAGGAGGTTGAGGTAGGAGGGTGCCTCAACGGTGGCCCACGTAGCGCAGGAACTCCAACACCTGGCTGTCCGGTACCTTGAGGGGCGCGGCTGGGAGGGGCAGGGAGAGGGGATAAGAGGCGGGAGAGGAGGGATTGCGTTAGAGGGTGCAGTGCAAGCAGCACAACAGCCCACAACGGTCACGAACTCCAACACCTGGCTGTCTGGCACCTTGAGGGGGGCGGCTGGGAGGGGGGGAGAGAGAGGCCGGAGGAGAGGAGACGAGGGGGAGAGAAGAGCGGATACGGTTTGAGTAGGCGGTGCAAGCAGCACAGCCCTCCGCTCAGGCTGACCTGCGCTCACCCCCCTTTCTGCCACTCACCGAGCACAAACCAGTCGACCATGTCAGAGCAGGCAGGATCGGCCAGGAATCAAATCCACCCTCTATCCGCCACTCACTTACCCTTCTCTGCCACTCACCACCCACCCCATCCACTCACCACCCACCCCATCCACTCACCACCTACCCCATCCACTCACCACCCACCCCATCCACTCACCACCCACCCCATCCACTCACCACCCACCCCATCCACTCACCACCCACCCCATCCACTCACCACCCACCCCATCCACTCACCACCCACCCCATCCACTCACCACCCACCCCATCCACTCACCGAGCACAAACCAGTCGACCACATCTGAGCAGGCAGGGTCGGCCAGGGAGCCCTGGTAGTGGATGTACGCGTGTGAGGCATCCTGAGAGGGGTACAGAGGGATAGTGGGGCAGAAAAGAGAGGTGTAGAGGGGTAGAGATAGGTTGGAGCAGGCAGGGTCAGCCAGGGAGCCCTGGTAGTGGATGTACGCGTGTGAGGCATCCTGGGGGGGAGAGAACAGAGCAGTAGAGGGGCAGCGGAGAGTGGTATAGACAGGCCACATGTTTACATGCGTGTATGTGCATATATAGACATATGCAGCAATGCATAAAGAGAGGGGGAGTGGAAGAGGTGGTGGTGGTACTCACAGATCTCTCAGCAGGCGGAAGCAGCGGCTGCGGGCTGGTCTGCACGCGCAGGCACTGCTGCAGGGCGGAGCGGGCGCCCCCCCTGCCCACTACTGCCACCTCCAAACACTCCTGGGGGGAGGCACTGTGGGGGAGAAGAGCAGGGGGAATGGGGGGAAAAGTGGAAAAAATGGGAGGAGGGGATGCGGAATGTGAGAGAAATCGGGGGGAGAGAGAGAGAGGCAGGCTGCCTCAGCCCATTGCCCACCACCGCCACCTCCAGACACTCCTGAGGGGCCGCTCTGTGGGGGGAAGGAAGTGGGATGGCGGGACAGTGAGAGAGGGGAATTGGGGGAGTGCAGTCACAGAGGAGAATGGGGGGTGCGAACCCCAAAGCTGCCTCCAGACACAGGCTGGGGGGAGTGGCACTGTGCGTACCACCACACACCCGCATTGCTGCTTGCGCCTGTCAGTCACCCCTGTCCCACTTCCACCACTTTTCCACCACTCCACGTCTGCTTGTTCTTCTCACCCAGGGCGAACGCCAGAGCCGCCTCCAGACACAGGCTGGGCTCTGAGTTGCTCTGCTGTGCTGCTGCTGCGCTCGCCTCTCTCCCCCCCTCTCCTGGCCTCGTCACAGTGCTCCCATCACGCCTGCAGCTCACCCCTTCCCCCCCACCACTCACATCTGCTTATTCTTCTCGCCCGGGGCGAACGCCAGAGCCGCCTCCAGGCACAGGTTGCGCGAAGCCCGAGGGTCCGCCTCTATCATCACTCTGGGGGAGGTGGTGAGGAGGGGGAAGGGGAAGGGGGGCAGGGCGTTGGGGGACCCTCGGGGAATTGGGGGAACGCCAGGGCCTCCAGGCACAGGTTGCGCGGGGCCCGCGGGTCCGCCTCTATCATCACTCTGGGAAAGGGGAGAGGGCGCGGGGTGTTGGTGGGGCATTGGGGGAGAGGGGTGTTGGTGGGGCATTTGTGGGGGGATTGACAGAGGATTTGGGAGGGGAGGGATTGGAGGAAGCTAAGTATGCAGCGGAGAGGAGGGCGAAAACGGATCAGGTGAAGCAGTGTGATGAAAGCGGGTGATGCATCACGAACTAGTTCAGCACTGAGCCACGTGATTAAAACGACCGGAAGCATTACCAACAGGGTGTGGCGACTCACCCAATGACTGCCAGCTTGCCGTCAGCATCGCCTGCAAGGGTACAAGGTGGGGGGAAGGAGGAAGAGAGAAAGCCGTGAGAGGGGAGGAGGGAAAGGAGAGGGTCACAGCGGAGGACTGGTGGGTGGGGTGGGGTGGGGTGGGGTGAGCAAGGGTGCCGCTCCACATTGCACAGAGGAGGCAATCAACCACCGCCCTCCCACCCCTCACCCGCTACAGTCGCTAGCTACAGTCCCCCCCCTTACAGTCACTTTGCTCTGTCACTCGCTACACATACGGTGCACGAGGTGCGCCTCCATGGCAGTGCCCGCCGTGAAGGAGTGAAGAAGGTGTCACTCGCAACATCCCCCCCGCTACATTCCCTTCACTACAGTCCCCCCGCTATTCCCCCCTTAACACCCATCCGCCTGCAGCCACCCGGCTACAGTCCCCTCGCCATGCGACGTACGGTGCACGAGGTGGGCCTCCATGGGGCAGCACACGCCGTTGAAGGAGTGCTCGCTGGGCGCGTGGAAGTGGTACTGTAGCAGCTGCAGCTGCCGCCCGCCTACCGCGCACGTGTTGCTGCCGCCCGAGAAGTTCACCTGCGGGCGGCAGAAGCGGACGAGAGGCGGGAGAGAGGAAAAAGGGGTGAACAGAGGAGAGGGCGGGGTAGAGATGGGGAGTGAGGCGGAGTAAAGGGGGGACAAGCCAAGGGCCTACTCCAGACGTCTAAAATACTTTTGAGGCGCCTTGGGGGTGAGAGGGATAGAGAGCAGCGAGGAGAATGAGCGCATTGCACGACTTTTGAGACGTCAAATTATAATGAACGACTCGCCTGCATGGTGCCGTGCCCCGTGTTAAGGAACGACGCGTCGGCGTTCTTATACGCGAATGTGATGTTACCGAGGCTGTTGTCTCTCGTCAGCTTCGACACCGCGTTCAGCGGACCGGCGGTTGCGGACTGCGCCGCGTCGCCCGGCGAGCACAGCTCGCCCCACTCCATCGGCCCGGAAACGTCGTCCTTGCTAGAATCGGCGGCCAATGCGGCCCCGATAGAGGATAATCCCCCGTTAGAGTCACAAATGGGGCAGCCCACGACTGCCGCCATGCCCGCCGCCAGTCCGCCGAGGATCAGCCGCCGGTTGACGACGCGCGGCCCGGTGTGACCGTGGGAGGCGCTTTCGGGCTCTGCGGCCGCCTTTCCGTCCTTAGCGGCGCAGCGGACGGCAATGGCGGAGCCGTTATTGGCGGATGTGAGGGGAGCTGCGCAGGCGGCGAGACTGACGGGCCGGCTGAGCATCTCGCATTTCTCCAGCGATGATTGGACGCAAGCGGCCAGCGGCGCGCGAAGCGAAGAGGAGGTGGCAAGAGCAGCCATTGATGCAAGGAGATCCGTACCTCAAGGAGAAGAGCTCTAAATCTTAGCTGTCCTTTTTTATTTGCCCTCTCTCCTGAGTGCTTTATTACTGGAGAGGCTGGAAGTCGTGGTTGGAGAGAGTTTCTCGGAGTGGCTTTAGCTGATGCACGAAAGGTTGGAGCTTGAAGGGCAGTGTACACTTCCAAAAGCACCCACCGTGACTGGTTCTTAGAACCACGTTTACGAGGTGGAAATGAGAGGGGAGTTGAATTAGAATATCTGGTTCTTTTCTTTCAAGACCTCTGAAACAAACTTTGGATGTTGACAAAAGAAAAATAATTCCAGTACCCGCCATCTCAAGGATGTGAGCTTCGCGAGATCTACGGTTCTCAGTTTGCTTCCAGCCAGTCGATCAATATCCGACATCCATTCCCGAGTCGCGCATTCGATGTGTAAGCCATGTCATCAGAAACACGATGATTGATCTCCACGTGGTATATCCGGCTTACTGCAAGGCGGTACTGTACTACTGTTAGATTCACGTGGAAAAGGATTTTCTCATGTGTTAAAGCTTTCGTATACATTTGACAGAAGGGGTTAAAAAACTTTTGAAATTTGAAAGTTTGCCTGTGAGACCGTGAGGTGACTTTCTAAACCCAAAACCTGGATGACAAATGTATACTTCAGCTTTAAAGTTCCATCGGAATACCATTCATGCAAGCATGCAGACTTCGACCAGCATAAACTTGTTTTTTTTTCTCTCCCACATCCTGTTATTGACCAGTCTGTGCTGTCAACACCTCGCTTGAATCACCACAACCTCCTCCACGCAGTGGTTGAGAATCCGCGACACGCGGGACTGGGGGAACGTTCGCCAGCCATTTCGTGTGTCGAATGAAGGTGTTCCACGTGTTCAGTCTTGAGCTGTGCAAAGTCGCGCCAAAGCAGATTCAACCAGACCCCTTGGAGTTGATGTCGCTCGTGTAACCTGGGGTGTGGGTGGCTCTTATTCAAGCAGTGGTCCAACCAAACAAAATGGGGGGAAAGAAGCAGAACTCGCTCAAGTGAGAGTAGGAGACTAGCTCCAGCTGCAGCGAAGGCATGGTTGGGTTGATCTGATAGGACAAGTCAATCCCTTTGGATCACGCCTAGTGGTGAACTGTCGGCTCAGCCATGGCGTCTAGCGCCTTCGAAACGTACTGGAAGGTAGGATCGAGTTAACCTGAAGAGCAGAAGCGTTTCTTTCGGCTTGGTATCTGACGTGAACGGAATTCTCTGCAGGTTCTGACCGACAACTTCACAGACTTCCAGCTCGCGACCATCGGAAGCTTCCTGATTCATGAGTGCGTCTTTTTCATGTCCGGACTGCCTTATCTGATCCTCGAGAATCTAAATGTTCGGAAATACAAACTCCAGGTGCGTCGACATTTCGTTGGCTTCGTGGTATGGCTCCATTAGCAACTTAGGTTGGGATCTGAGCGTGGTTCGTGTCATTGCAGAAAAAGTCAAACCCGGCATCATCACAGATCAAATGTGTATTGAAGCTGCTGATGTACCACTGCCTCGTCAACCTACCTCTGATCATGGCGTCCTACCCGGTTTTCAAGTACATGGGCTTCAGAAGCACGCTTCCCCTTCCGCACTGGTACTGCTTCCGCTCGTTTTTAACTTTGCATGGAAAGATCGCCTCGTCTAGTGTTGCAAGCTTCTCACCTTTCACGACGAACGACGACGTTTGCAGGAGTACCATCGTTACCCAGCTCGTGAGCTACTTCTTTATCGAGGATTTTGTGTTTTACTGGGGTCACCGTGCGCTACACTCGAAATGGCTGTACCAGAACGTCCATTGCGTCCACCATGAGTGAGTGCCGCTGTCAGACGCTCCGCTTTACTCTCCCTCCCACCTCCCGCGTACTAAATCTCCCCTTCCTCTCTCTTTTTGAGCCCCTAGATATGCGACTCCATTCGGGTTGACATCGGAGTACGCGCATCCCGCGGAAATCCTCTTCCTAGGGTTCGCCACCATTCTCGGCCCCGCCCTCACGGGACCGCATCTGCTCACCCTCTGGCTCTGGATGAGCCTTCGAGTCCTCGAAACCGTTGAAGCACACAGCGGATTCGAATTCCCCTGGAGTCCGTCCCGCTTCATTCCGCTCTACGGCGGGTAAGTTCATTTCACACCAGATCGTGCAATTATACCTACGCTCTACAATGTCCTCTGAGCGTGAGATGCAACTTGTGATGGCTGCAGGGCGGAGTACCACGACTATCATCACCGCTGCGTGTACACGGACTCAGGCAACTACTCGTCCACGTTCATCTACATGGACTGGTATGTGGGCTTTGATTGCTCGCACATACGGTTCATGTCCCATGATGCCCGCTGATTGTGAGCTATGTGTTGTGCAGGATTTTTGGAACTGACAGGAACTACAGGAGAATGAAGGCTCTGAAAGCAGGCAGTGCCAAGGACGAGGCTCCTACTACCAATGGTACGAAGAAGGACTCTTAGGCTAGAAAAGGTTGCAATTTGAACTGCAACTTTGTGTTGCAAGCTCTGCAAGGTAGTGATAGTTGGGTTGTTCATGCATTTCCAGATGTCAATAACGTCACATCTATTTTCTCATGCATACCAGTCAAAGCACAATGGTGGGGCGATTAGTCCCTAGATCCGGCCCAGTCTGGTGCTCTCCTTATTCCCGCTCTTTGTTCATGCAATCCCTACGTCTGTAAGAATGGGAGCTGGGTGATGGAATGGTATGTCAGCCCATGAGGGGGGAGATGAGCACGGCGTGGGAAGAGTTGTACTAACAGTTATGGTGTTGTGTGTATGGTATGCCATGCTGCGGGAAAGGAAAGGAATGGAGCTTTGACAAATAGCGGCTGAGATAGCTAGAGGGTTTTGGATGGTGGAGGCCAGGGTTAGCCGAGGGGTGAAGAGCGCCTGGGTTGGAAATTGTTAACAATATCAGGTTTGACGAAGCCACAACCCAAAGTGGACAAAAGTAATTCCTCCTGAAGATAAATGACGCTTGAAGGCATGAGTAGGGGCAATTTCTCAACCAGAAGCGAGGCACACTTTTGAGACATCTTCATTTGTTTGTAATACTGTAGGCATTTGGTGGAGTAGTGTAACATAACAACTGACCTAAATGCTATATTATATGCGGTAAATATGTTCAGTGTATTACCGTACCTCTCCTACTGTTAGGGAAATACTGCATGGTGCCAGTTCCTCCTCTCCATCCTACAGCAGAGCTCGCGCTTCAGCAGATCCCACCACATCCACCTCATCACTTCCGTCATTCTGATTCCTTGCATCCTGCCAGCATTCTCACTTCACCTTTTTCACTGATCCTGATTTGCCTCTACCACCATTATCCGAGGAGTTTCTGATCAGGTCGTCGTAGCATTTTTGCATCGTCTGGCGTTTGTTTCCGCGCTCATTGCCTTGTTGCCGCGCAGCATCAACTCTATTGATTCAGCACCAACGGCTCTCCGCACAGAAAAGAAAGTATTGAAACCGAAACGGGTTCTGAGACGGTGAAGATTAGGGTTACTGACGACTCGATGTCAGGAAGGGAATTGATACTTGTCAAATAGGCGAGCTGGCAAATCTTAGGTAAAGGGCCGTCTCTCGTCAGGCCAGCTGGCGGCTCGCCGGCTGATGCGGCGATGACTGGGCCGCTGCCGTCGCCAGCCAATCGCACGCGCTTCAAGACGCCGGAAGGGCGATACCTGCTGTCGCACGAGAAGGTTCACCCGGCCGGCCTTATCCAGTACACCCATCAGCGCAATCCCACCAAGGTATTACGCGCTCGCCACGTGTCACTTCCAGATCCCTCCATTTCAACGGCCAGGGATCACAATAATCTCTCACGTTCCGCGATTATAGAAGACAATGTCATTCCGCTCCCTCCCCCGTTACAGTCACGTAGCTGCATCGGCCGTGTCTCACTCACGCGGCTGTCGAGGCGATTCCTCGGAATCTGGTTCCACGATCTGCATCAAGCATTTCGTGCTGCCCCTCGCATTTCCTCGCCCTTTTCCCATACCCCTTTCAACCGCGCCCTTTCCCTCCTCCTTCCCCATCCTTCCCCTCCCCCTCCTCCACCCCCCGCCCCTCTTCCTGCGCACCTCCCCCGCGCAGATCACATTAGCGCATCTCGAGGACCGGCCTCCGCCCCTCCCCCCTCCGTCGCCGTCACCCGTTGCCACGTCAGCAGGTTCCAGATTCGCCAAGAACTTCTTAGGAGCAGGAAGCGGCACGCGTGGACTGCCCTTCGGCGGCGGAAATGGCCGTCAATCAGGTTAGAGTGGCCGTAAAAAAATGGAATGTAGCCGTCGGGTAGGTGGGAGTTTTAGTCATTTAATTAGGCCACTTGCTCATCTCACCCCCTTGGCAGACCCCCTCGTGCACCATCTCCTGTTCCTCCTTCTCCTCCTTCCCTTCCATCCTCTCACTCCCCTGCCTCCTCGCCTCTTGCATCCCCCTCCTTTCCCCCTTCCACCTTCCCCCCCGACCCCCATCCCCCGCCTCACACTTTCCCCCTTCCACCATTCCCCCCCCCCCCTCCCCCCCCCCCCCCCCCCGCCCGCAGCAGCGGTGCCAGCAGCCACTGGCGCATCCGCAGGCGCGGGGACCGCAGGGGGGAGCAATGGGGCGGTGGGGGGAGCAGGCGGAGGGGGAGGGGCGGGGGAGAAGGAGAAGGCGGGGGGCGAGGGCGAGGGGTCGTACGTAATCTTCAACGTTGGCGAATCACTCTTTGTGGCGGACGCCAACAGTACGGACAAGGTGGGGAGGGGATGGGGAATGGGGAAGGGTGCGAGGCGCAAGGTGGGGCTGGGGGGCGCAAGGTGGGGGCTGGGGGGCGCAAGGTGGGGGCTGGGGGGGCGCAAGGTGGGGGCTGGGGGGGCGCAAGGTGGGGGCTGGGGGGGCGCAAGGTGGGGGCTGGGGGGGCGCAAGGTGGGGGCTGGGGGGGCGCAAGGGAAAGCAACGCTGGTGTGGCATGGCGTGTGGCGGGCAGGGGTTGATGGAGTTGAGTTGAGAGTGAACGATGGATTATTTTTCCATCCCTGTCGTCCATCTCACTCCCCCCTCTATTCCCCTTACCCTCTCTTATCTTCCCATCTCCCCCCCTCTTTTTCTCCCTCCGTTTCTTCTCCCCCCTCCCACACCCTTGCACGCCCCCCCTCCCCCCTCCCCTGCCACGAGCCCCTGAAAGCGCTGCAGTTCATGGGAGCGAGCGGGCTCTGCCACGCGTTTGACGGGGCAGTGGCGGGCAGGGGCACACTTTTGACACGTCCCAACTCTCCGGATTTTCCCTAACATTGTTTCCGCTCTCCCGGTTTCTCCCCCATCTACCCCTCTCCTGCCAGGAGCCCCTGAAGGCGCTGCAGTTTATGGGGGCGAGCGGGCTGTGCCACGCGTTTGATGGAGCAGTGGCGGGCAGGGAGGCGCAGGGCACAGCAGGCAGGGACGCGCATGACCTGCTTATTGCCACCACTGCAGGCGACAGTGAGTGCCCTCCTCTTTCCCACTCTCCTCCTCTCTGGGGGACAGGGAAGCATAATGCATGGAGGGCAGGGAGGCACAGGGCACGGCAGGCAGGGACGCTCACGACCTGCTCGTTGCCACCTCTGCAGGCGACAGTGAGTGCCGCCCCCTGTTCCCAATCTCCTTGAGACGTCTCAAAAGAAGTAGCACAGGGCACGGGAGCAGGCAGGGACGCGCATGACCTGCTCGTTTCCACCACCGCGGGCGACAGTGAGTTGAGCCTTCCGCTTTTGAGATTCTCAGGAGTGACTCCAATGTAGCTGTGTCAGACAGGGAAGCACACGACCTGCTCAATTGCTACCACCACTGGCCACAGGGACTGCAAACTTCTCCTCCCACCACGCCCCAGCTGCACCCCCCATACCTGCCTGCTCCTGTCTCCCCTTGGCTCTTTGTCTCCCGTTGCTTCCCGGTCCCCTCCTGCCCCAGTCTACACAGCATCACTGAGGGCACAGCTAGCAGACGGCAGCAAGAAGCTAGTAGGAGCAGCACACTACAGCCCGCGGGACGGCACCGGTGGCAGCAGTGGCAGCGGGGGCAGCAGCAGCGGGGGGAGCAAGGAGGGCAGCAGCGGCAGCAGCAGTCGATGCACAGCTGTGGCGTGGGTGCCGGGCGGGGATGGGCTGTTTGTCACGGCGCTTGCGGATGGGAACGTATATGTCTTTGACAAGGTGGGACGCGCCTCCCCTCTGTCTCTGTGTAGTGAGCCATGGCATGGCATGGCGTGCCAAGCCCATGCCATGATGCATTGCGTTGCGTTGCACTGTTGAGGCAAGGAATGAGTCATACAGAGACAGGTCCATAGTTGACTTTTGAGTCGACTCAAAGGTCACCAGGTCCATAGTTGTAGTATAATGGTAAACGCTGACTTGCCATCGGCTCCCCCAACAACCTTTTCACCCTCAAGTCCATTCGTTGCTCCCCGCTCCCCCAACAACCTCCCGCCCTCCTTCCCAACACCCTGAACCCCCAACCGCACACCACCCCTTCCTGCCCCACAGCACCGGGACGGCACCACGGAGCCGGGCTTCCCGCCCATCAAGGACGTGCATGCCTTTTCCACCGCACACGCGCGCTCCAACAAGGTGCGTGTCCCTGTGCTGTGGATCCATGCCTTTTTGCGGTTGTGAATCGACTTGATTGCCTCTGGGCCTGCATGCATGCATGCATGCCCCCTTGTGCCATCACCATCGCACTGAGAGCAATCACTTGCCACGTGCCCATAACCGAGCTTGCTGCTTTCTATCCGTCTCAGATTGAGAGCAGCAAGCAACCCAAGTGCCCCGTGCCACATCTCCCCACAGCTGCATTCCCCCGTGCACCATCGGAATCACCCATGAGCACCATCATCACTGCCCATGCTCTCCCCCCCCTCCCTTGCCGCAATGGCCATGACTGACAAAGCAACCCATTAGCACGGTGGCACATCTCACCATCATCAATCAACGCCCTCGCCTTCTCTCCTTCTGGCTTGCACGTGCTCCCCCCCATCCCCCCCCATTCCCTCCCCCCCCAATGCCCCTCACTAACAGAGCAACCCATTAGCACGGTGGCACATCTCGCCATCATCAATCAACGCCCTCGCCTTCTCCCCCTCGGCCTCACACATGGCCACCGTCTCCCGCGACGGTCAGTGCTGGGGGGGAGGGTAGAGGGGGTCAGGGGAATTGACCTAGAGCGCCAGATGTGTATGTTAGCGCCCTCGCCTACTCCCCCTCGGCCTCACACATGGCCACCGTCTCCCGCGATGGTCAGTGTTGGGGCTGTGTGCTGCCGGCTATCTGTATGTGGTTGACCCAGAGTGAGTTCTTACGCCGCCCCAAAGCGTTCTCTGCCGCTTGTGTGCTGCATGCTGCTTCCATTCAACGTCCCTCCGTGCAGGCTACCTACGAGTGTTTGACTGGGAGAGAGAGGCATTGGAGGGCGGGTGCAAGAGCTACTACGGGGCGTTCCTGTGCTGCGCCTTCAGCAGTGACGGACGCCTGGTGGCGGCAGGGGGGGAGGACGACCTGGTGGCCGTGTGGGACCGCCACTCGCACGCCGTGCTCGCCTGGTGCGAGGGGCACTGCTCGTGGGTGAGTCTCGCTGTTTGGCCGCCTTACCTTGCTAGGCAAGTTGGCGCTTGAAAAGGGGTGGCCTGCTGGCCGTGTGGGCTGCCACTCGCACGCCGTGCTCGCCTGGTGCGAGGGGCGCTGCTCCTGGGTGAGTGAGTCTTGCTGTGTAGGCCGCCTTAGCGGCTGAATATGCTATGCAATGTGGGTGCCCGTCCATGCCTCTCTCTCACCTCTCATCATCCATCTCCCTTGCCCTCGCCCCTCTCTCACTCCAGGTCACAGCAGTGGCGTTTCTCTCCATTCGAACATTTCTCTCCATTCGATCCATTCGAACATTTCTCTCCACCAAGCCCACCCCACCAACCATCATCGCCTCCCCTCCCTCACACCCTCCTTTCCTTCTCCCTCACCTCTCATCATCCTCTCTCTCTCTCCCTTACCCTCCTTTTCTCTCTCTTCATGCAGGTCACAGCAGTTACGTTCGATCCATTTCTCTCCACCACGCCTCCCCGCCCACCGCCATCTCTCTCTATCACCTCTCTGTATACCTCTCTCCCTTCCTCTCACCCCTCTCTCCCTGCAGGTCACAGCAGTGGCGTTCGACCCCTTCCTCCCCGCCAATCCCCCGCCGCCCACTGCCATCGCCTCCCCCCCCTCCACCACTGCTGCTGCTGCCGCCGCCACTCCCCCCTCCTCCGCCTCCCCCATCCCCACCAGCAGCACCACCACCGGCAGTGGTGCGGGTGTGGGGGCAGCAGCAGTGGTGCCGGGTGGTGCAGAGGGGAGCTACAGACTGGGGTCCGTGGGACAGGTGAGAAGTGGGGCAGGTGAGGAGTGGGGGGAGTGGGAGGGGAGTGAGCGCAGAGGGAGGGCAGAGGGAGGGCAGAGGGAGGGCAGAGGGAGGGCACAGGGAGCATGTGCTTGGGTGCATCGTCGTACACATTTTTTAGGCGCCTCGAAAACTGGGTGCATCGTACACAGTGACAGGGTGTGATGCAATTCCACTCATCCCTTCTCTCTGCTCTCATGCATGCGGACTGGCACTCCCGTACCTTTGCCCTGCTCTCACTCACTCGCCCACCCCTCTCCCCTCCCTAGCCCCAAACCAGCCCTCTCAGGGCTCGCAGTTTCTGCTATGGAACATGGCTCTGGACAGCACTCCTAACCCCTGTGTCGCCTGTCGCTCTGCCACTGTTGTGTCATTACTGCCTTCGCACTCTCTCACCCCTCCTCTGCACTCACTCACCCATTTCTCTCTCCTCCCCGCCCTTCCACCAACCCTATCAGGACACGCAGCTGCTGCTGTGGGACGTGGCTCTAGACGACGTGGTGCTGCCCTTGCGCCTCCATGCATCCCATCCGCACCACCAATCAGCAGCTGCCACGTCAGCATCGCACCCTCATGACGTGGCATCGACCAGCACCCCCCCGCCCGCCCACCCGCACTCCCGCTCGCACTTCTCCCACTTCCATTCTCACGCACCCGGCCACGCCTCTCCAAACCGAACACATGGCGCCACGTCAGCGTCACCATCCACGTCAGCAGCAGGAACTGCCACGTCAGCGTCATCATTAGGTCTGGGCAGATCCAGCGGTGCCCGGAGCTCCAGTGGGGCGGGGAGTGGTGCCGGTGGGGGCAGCAGCAGCAGCAATGCAGGCGGGGGTGGCAGCGGCGGCGGGGCTTTAAGAGACGCATCGGGATCGAATGCATCTCATGGAATCAATGCAGCAGCAGTGCTGGTGCCTCCTCCTTCCCGCAAAGACGTGCCGAGAATATCCCCAGTGATGGCACACAAGGTATGCACTCTGCCAGTGATGCTGTTACCTCCTCGTTGAGCTCTTCTTCCCCACCAGCAGGCATGCACATGAGCAGGCATGCGTTGCAGTACAACCATCATCCGTCCCACATCCCCGCATCTATCCGTGTGCCGCTTCTGTGGCATGCTTGGATGGTGTTGGTGTGTGCGCATCCATGTTGGTGTGTGCGCATCCATGTTGGTGTATGCGCATGCACCCCTTCACACATCCATGTTGGTTTGTGCGCATGCACCCCTTCACACATCCATGTTGGTGTGTGCGCATGCACCCCTTCACACATCCATGTTGGTGTGTGCGCATGCACCCCTTCACACATCCATGTTGGTGTGTGCGCATGCACCCCTTCACACATCCATCCCTCCTCGCATCCCACCCATCATCCCTGCCCCCCCCACCCGTATTTCCCACCAGGTGCACGTGGAGCCACTATCAGCACTCGCCTTCTCACAGCAAGCAGTGCTCACGGCATGTCACGAGGGCTATGTCAAGCTCTGGCTGCGCCCCGGCACCACCCCCCCTCCTGGCAGCATTGCCGCCACCTCCACCCCTGCCCCTTCTGCTGCCGCTGCTGCGCCTGTTCCTGCTGCTGGTGGTGCTGCTGCTGCCACTGTAGCCGTGCCTGCGGCGTCCGCCTCGCCTCTCCGAGGGGAACCCCAGTCAGCCTCTCCCGCCCTCGCCCTGTCCGACCGAGGCCTTACCAGCAACCGCACGGGCACGGCAGAAGCTACTGCTGGTGCTACTGGTGGTGGCAGCATGAGTGGCGCTGCTGCATCGGCTGCAGCGACAGCGGTGGCAGCGGCGGCGGGTGCCAGAAGTGCTGTTTCCGGGCAACGAGGATTCAGATGAGCGCGTGCGTGCATGAGCACATGCTGTGATTCGATGCGCCTTATGGCGCATGCAAGGGCACGGTGGCAGGCATGGCCTGTCACACAGGAGCATGGCTCGAGGCGCCTACAGGAGGGAATCTGCAAGGGCATGGTTTTGGCCCACAGGGACTCACCTGAGTGGGCGGCGTATGGAAATAGTTTCATTAAGAGCACAAGCGGCTGTGGTTGTGGCGTTATGTTTATGTCATATGTGGTCAATATTGCATGCAACTGTTGCCATACTCTCACAGGTGGCAAGGGCATGGGATCAGGGCTAATTTTTTGTTTTAAGCTACCCTTATCATCAGTCCTGCACCTTTGCAAAAACCTGATTATCAGTGTGACCCCTTGGGAAAATTCTTTTCCATCAGGGTTTTCCGTAGTTACAAATAAATTACCCTTATGCCACAGTGTAACAATTTTCAATACCCTGATGAAGTGTTTGTACTGAAGTTCTGAACAGAAACGCGAGCTACAAGACTCCATCCCGAATCTTCATCCTTCCGAAATCCCAATCTACCTACTTTATTTACAAAGTTCCTAGGTACATGGGCTCATATATGTACACTATGTACAAGAAGTTCTAGAGCAGTGGAAAAGAAAAGCAAGTGTAAAGATGTGAAGAACAGGTGAGAGATGACAAAGTGATTGAGTGATATGAGAGTATAACGATGTGCAAAAGAGAACAGAACTGGTTACAAAACAGTGGGAAACAGGACACACAGAAGAAAAACAGAACAGAACTTGAAACCACAAAACAGAACAGAACAGAACAGAACAGAACAGAACCTACGGTAATGACACAAACGAGTGACTCACAAACTGAAACTGACCCACATGACCCACAAAATCAGCAGTGTAACCCTACAGTAAAGCATCTACAAAGGTTAACCCCCCTTAAATGCGGGGGTTGAACAAATATGCAAGGTCAGGAGCGCCATCACTGAAAGCAGGAAGATCTGAAAATGATGGGTCTTCGCTTGACATCTCCTCCGAGATCGATGGGAAGGCCACCTCTACCCTGTGGCGGATTGCCCTGGCCTGCGCCCGTTGCAAAGCCATAGAGACTCGAAGCATGTAGGAACTCTCAAAGGCGGTTGTAAGAACACTGTCTGCTGCACCGTGATCAAGATGCCGTGCTGCTGCCCTGCGACTGCAGTCCCGTAGAAACGCTTTGAAGCTGCTGCCCAAACACCCGAAGGTCTCAAGTGCAAGTGGAAGAAACTTGACTGCTGGCCGTGCGCGTAAAGCTGCTGCGTAGTGGGATCTTTTCTCTGCTTCGCGCTGTTTTGCAGCTAGGCCGACTGTATGAGTAACTGTTAGGGGAGCGGAGGGCAGCTGCGGGTCGGTTACTGACACATCCAATGCCCATTTGATTCCAGCGCAAGGGTCTATGCAAGTGACATCTGGAATTGCCTCCGGCAGCATCGTGCGGTCTTCTACTCTAACCGTGAAGCCTAGCTCCCTCGCAATCCGTGCTACCTCATGTTTCACAGCGTCGTGTACGTGAGTCGGCTCATTAAGGTCAGGACAGCGTAGCGCATGGCTGGGCAGGGTGGGATCAGTGTAGGTAAGACCACAGGAACAGGGTGGGGCCGATTCTAGGAGACGGATGTGAGGAATAGGGAGGCCTAGGCGGATTTCAGTCGCGATTAGCCAGTCTGCCGGTTCGAGTTGGGCACGAGGAGCAGAAGGGACAGCCGTGAGCCAGGCGCCAGCAGATGGGTCCTGAAGGGAAGTTAAACGGGCCAGTTGGTGGTGCTGGGTAGCGGCTGAACGTAGCTGCTCTGCTGCGTGTGCTGAAATGCGCTGTGCTAGGGCAGAAAATAGCCTGTTCGGGTATCCAGCGAGTAGAGCGGACCAGGGAGGGACTAAGTGCCGCAGATCGTCAGGCAAGGCTGCCAAAGCATGTGAAATCTGCGGGTCCAAAGGGTCAAGGGCATCGCTAGCGATGAAGGGCTGAAGGAAACGGTCGCCGTCAATGCTGCAGTTGTTAGCTAGGACTGGTATAGCTTGAGCCCAGCTGCAGACATAACTAAGCGACGCGTGTCTGTGTGCACTCTGAATCCCTAGACCCCCCAAGCGAATCGGTAAAAAGGCCTGTGAACGGGCTAGCTGACCTTCCGCCGTATCAAGGTCCCAAGTGTCAGGAGGGAAGAGGGAGATAAGGGTATCGAGAAGGTGATCATCCCAGTCAGTGTATGCCTCTAGGACGTCGTCTGTGGGTGGAACCGTGCGGAGGAGGTATGAAGGTTTGGCGGACAGGCACATAGCGAGCAGGTGGGCAGCGATCTGCGGGTTTTCTAGACGAGCGAGCCATGGTGCAGCAACTCTCAGCGAAGCAAGGCGTTTGCGTAGCTCTGAAGTAATGAAATCGGGTTCGCCTACGGGGACGCGTGCGACTATGATTCCCTTATCCTGGAGGGCTATTCCAGGGGGGCCCTGGAGAGGATCTGGCCATCCCTGTGGCGCCCAGGCTTGACACTTAGCGGGCTGGACACTGAGACCAAGGTCTGCGAACTGCTGCTGCAAGGCTGTAAAGACTGTTACAAGGCGCTGTGGGGGCCCTAGGATGTACGAGTCGTCGGCATATGACATGCAGAGAATGTCAGGGAAGGCATTACGGATGGCACGGATTGCGAGCTGCTGGGTGATAGCGTAAAGGAAAGGGCCACAAGGATCCCCCTGGCGGACTCCGCGCTGTGACTGAAGTGTGTGAAGGAGGGGTCCTGAATGGAAAAGAAGAGGCGAGGGACTTGCATAGAAAAGGCGGAAGAAAGGTATTAAGGAGGAAAAGTCGGACTCTTGAAGGGCTGTGAACATTGCAGCGCGATGAAACGAGTTGAATGCGTTAGCGACATCGACATTAAGGACAGCCCACTCAGGGTGCAGCTCAAGAGACGAGCGGATAGCGAAGACAAGCGAGCTAAGGCCAGCCGAGACACCGACACCTAGCTGCAGGTCAGGCAAGAACTGTGACTGGATTTGCGGCTTGAACAAGAGCGCTACACAGCGTGAAAGCAGACGTGCAAGCACTTCACCGATTGCAATTGGCCGGACATCGGCGTTTGACTTCTTGAGCGCGATGAGAGTTGAAGCTGTGAGGAAAGGAGTGAAACGGGAGGAGGCCTTGCCCGCCAGCCAGTTGTTGAGCACAGGGAGGAGGAGGGGGAGGTAGGTGGGGTGGGCAAGGAAGGTGTCGCGAAGGTGCTCGGCCATCCATCCAGAATGGCCTGCCGCTGCCCCCCTTGTCATGGTGCGGATAGCCTCTTTGAGAAGATCGAGGGGCAGCTGCGGAACCTCCATAGGGGTGAAGGAGTCCACCCAGGACGGTATAGGTTGTGTAGAGGGGGGGTGTTTAGCTTGGAGTCTGTCAACTGTCTCAGCTGTTGGGGGAGCAAGCTCTCCGGCCTGCAGGGCAACATATGCTCGGGACCACTCTCCGACTGAGGCAAAACGAATGCACCGTTGAACTCGTGCTTCATCAGATGTTGAGCGCGCAGATGAGATGGAAACCGGGTGTGTTGCAGGGCTGTATGTAGTCAGTGTCTCTTGGAAGAGCTCGTGCCAGTCACCGCTAGCAAATCTGTTCGCGCGTTCAATGCATGCTTTGCTCTGTGAGGTTAGGCTGTCGGTTGCAGGCTTGCGGAGGACCATGCGGGGAAAAGCAAGGAGGAGGAATGCTGCTCCGTCGTCAAGGGGATGGTCCTTAAGGCGCTGCAGCACAGGGAGAAGCGCCTCAAGGACCGGGACACGAGCACGGTCCGGAATCCTCCTGACCAATGGAGGGGAAGCAAATTCAGGAGCAAAAAACCGGTCCCACGGCCAAGAAGCCGCGGCCAGCCATGTGTCCTCCGTGGCGATGCTGTGAGGTTGAGGTGATACGGTTGGTACTGGGGTGAGCTGTGCCTCCAGGTTTATCTTGTGCAGAAGTGCCGCTGCTTTACACGATTTCTCGTGACGCGCCCGACCTTGTGACGTAGCTAACTGCCTGGGGCAGTTGCTGAAGTCTCTGTGGGTAGTGGTGCTGTTAGAGATGAAGGTCCCGGGTCTTGAGGTGCTAGGAGAGAAGCAGTAGGTGTGGGGAGTAGTGGGTTCTGGTTCGTAGGTCGGATAGGAGGTATAGCTGTTGCTGGTCTCGCAGTTGATGAGTGTGTAGCTGATGATTTAGACGCTGCTGGCTGTGCAGGTACTGGTTTCGCAGTTGCTGGCTGTGTGAGCATTGATGATTTCCGTGCAGATGATTTCGCAGCAGGTGTTCTCGGCTGTCCGTCGTCAACTAACATGGGCGATGGCTTTGAAGGAGGCGCTGAAGTAGGCGCTGTATGGATGTACTCGTCCAGTGGAGAAGACTGCTGTGGCGGATTTTCAAAATTCGATGCTGAGAGCCTTGGAAGGTCGTTTAATCCCTCGAGACGAGTGGAGCCCAAACGCTGACCTGGCTGCTTACTAATCGCATCCCTATGGCGCTTGTCGTTCGTCGCCATGGGAGATAAGACTTTATGTCGCGAAGATGGTTGCAAATTCGTCTGTTTTGGTAATTCTGGAATAAGGGTCGAATGTATGAACTGAGTGAAGACTTGACGATTTAGGACGAAAGTGGTATCAATAGCAATCCCAATCTACCGACCGGGCCACTCCAACATGCATATTCCAATAGCTCGTTTTAATATATCTTGTTTTAAGCGGGACAGTAGTGCGAGGGCGAATTGGGGGGGGGGGTATGGTACTCGCTCCAGGGCAAAACTCGTTATGCAATCGGTAACCCTGAGTCATCAGTGTGCCTTAAATGTAAACCCTGGCATATCAGGAAAATTCTAGCTCCCGAAAAAATTACCCTAGGCCATCAGTGTGACTACCAAAAACCACCCTGATAATCAGGGTATCAGGGTGATTTACACTGATAAAATTTGCCCTGCATGGGATGATGTTGATTAATGATTTTCACGTGCACACAGGGGTGTGGGGTGGTGAGGGTTCTGGGTGGTGTTGGTTAAACGAGGTGGGAAGAAGATGTAATGCAAGCATGTGTGCAGGGAGCACCAGGTCACTCCAGAAATTTTGCTGTGCAATGCAATCCATGTCTGATGGGGAGCAATGTGAGTCGCACCCCACCGCATGCCTTGGTGCATGCCACCAAGGGGCTAGCATGCCTTGGTGCATGCCACCAAGGGGCCAGCATGCCTTGGTGCATGCCACCAAGGGGCCAGCATGCCTTGGTGCATGCCACCAAGGGGCCAGCATGCTTGCGATGGTGCCCAACCATCCGGGCAACCGCATGCCAACAGCACGGCTACAGTTGTCGGGTGGCACTGCACTGTAGGGCATGTGTGTGATGACACCATCCATCACAGCTCAGGGCAGCGGCTGAGCCATGCATGGGAGTGTGGTGTGGAACTGCTGGTGCTGCAACCTGGGCAGTGGGTGGGTGTGGGCGTGGGTGTGGGTGTGGGTGTGGGTGTGGGTGTGGGTGTGGGTGTGGGTGTGGGTGTGGGTGTGCTTCAAGAAGTTTCGAAGCTGGACTACGTATCCCCAAGTGGAAGATTTCTTGCACGGGAGGCAGTGGGCATGCATGGCACCGTGACACAAGTCATCAGTTACACAGTGAGCGACAGTGAAAGGTGGTGAGAAGCACGCAAGAGGGAACACCTGTGAGTCGTCCCACTGTATGGATACAGGGCATATTATTAAACAAAGGCCTTGGCGGCCAACTTTGTGTCAAACCGTACGTATCAGCAATGGCATACCCAGTGTTAAGCGGGGTTCCTACCTACCTAGCACCTATGATATGACCTAGCACCTAGCACCTAGCACGTATCATGTAGGGAGCACCTGGAGACAGGGCCTGCCCCATCTGGTCACCTGCACGCTGCCTGCTAGCTGCAGGCACACGCTTTCCCATGCTGCCTGCCCGCAGACCCAACGCTGCCAGCTGGCTCATTTGGATCGGATCGTGCCAGCTGGCTCTCTTGGACTCAACACTGCCAGCTGGCTCACCCTGACCTGCACCCAGCCAGCTCCTAACCAAGCGCACTGCTGCTGCTGCTGCTGCTGCTGCTGCTGCTGCTGCTGCTGCTGCTGCTACACCTATTGTTGCCCCGCCACAGCTGAACCTGAGAGCCGGGCGGCAGCAGCACGCAGACGCACATCACTGCCGTGCGTCTGTGCTTTGGGCAAAGCGTCACCTATACGTGCTGCAGCACCCAACGCTCCTATAGGTGCTGCGCCCTTGGCCGTGGGAACGGCAGCAGCAGGGCGGTCAAGGGTGGTTTGGGCGAACATTTCAGGCGACATGGGCACGATGGCCATGGCCTTGTGCGGCTTCTTGCCGCCCTTGTGGCTCTTGGGGTGCAGCTTGGCGCGGCGCTGGCGGAACATGTGCGTGTAGAGGTGCAGCCAGAAGAGGGGATACGCCGCCAGGATGACCTGCAGGGGGGATGGTAGGAGAGAGGGGGGAAAGGGGGAAAGTGACTATCTTGGGGTGCAGCTTGGCGCGGCGCTGGCGGAACATGTGCGTGTAGAGGTGCAGCCAGAAGAGCGGATAGGCCGCCAGGATGACCTGGAATGGGGAGGGGAGGGGGGGAATGGGAGAGGGGTTGGGGGGTAAGGAGTCGGGAGTAGTTCTTTCAGTTTGCTCTGGGAGGTTGAGAGGCAGGGGGACTACCAGGAGGGTGTGAGAATGAAGGGTTGGGAACGAGGATAGTGTCAGGCACGGGGTTACATGTGTTGTTGGATATCATAACGGCGACGTGGCACTGACAATGCTGACGTGGCACCTGACAATGCTGACATGGCACTGACAATGCTGACGTGGCACTCACAGCGACGACGTGGTAGCAGTCGAAGGGCAGTGCGTCGAAGAGGAAGGCGAGTGGGCGCTCCGCCTTCACGAAGGGCAGGGAGCGATAGATGAGCACCACTGCAAGCAGCGGGAGGGGAAGAGACAAGGGAAGTTGTGAGGCGCCTCAACAACGGCAGGGAGTGTTACATGAGCGCCACTGCGCGCGCGGTTTGGGGGTGGGAGCGGGGAGGATGGAGGAGGTTTAGGCGGTTGCGGACGGTGGGAAGCGGAATAAGAGCGGAGAGAGCAGTGCAGATGTGAGTAGAAGGTGGACAGTGTGCGAAGCTCGACACGTGTCGACAGGTGCTGTACGCGAGGAGAGTAATACGGGGTCGCCATTCACTCGCCCCGCCACTCCCCCCTCCCCACCTCCCCTCCCCCCCCCCCCCCACCCTCCCCTCCCTCCCCGCCGCGACTCACTTTCCCCGCCGAACATGCCGATGGGGTACAGCGGGATGAACGCCGAGTAGCGCAGCCACGTCAGCGCGCGCGGACACGTGCCCAGGAGTGAGAGCGCGTACTGCGGATAACGGATGACCTGGCAGGGGGAGCAGCGAGAGACGGGGTGGGGAGAGATGGAATCCCGTCAGCTAGTTATCAAGAACGGGCAGTACGCATTTATATTTAGCTGCTTGTTTCAACTTTTCTCCTTGGCTATGCATCAATCTGGTGATGCTTGAACCGCGGAATTTAGCGGACTGTACCGCGACTGCCACTCTTCGCGGTACTCACCTCGGAGCAGCACCAGACGGCGAGCAGCACGAAGAGCGCGGCGTGCGTGTGGAGGGCGGGCGTGCGCCCCACGACCGCGAACAGCACGAAGCTCCGCCCCACCCACTGCACCAGCGGCGCCACCACTCCGCTCCGCACCAGCCCTGCGCGCCAGGGGACGCGGGGAATGGGGGGGACGAGGGGGAGTGGGCGAGCGGAGTGAGCGCAGATGGGAGGGAAAAGCGGGAATTTCTGGAGAAAAAGAAGAACGAATCGTGTGGAAAGACGGGAAAAGGGGAAGTGCGGGAAGAGAAGAGCGGAAAGTGGCAGTCAGGGGGAGGCGATTCGTACCCGTTGCGGCATGCACGGTCTCGAGAATGGACGCGAACTGACAGACGTCTGCAAATACGGGTTGAAGGGGAAATTTGAAAAAGAGAAATAATTACGGGAAACAAATGGCACCATGGAGCAAGGTTACGAAGACAGAAGCAGCAATTCGGTGTTAACGGCCCTAAGCATGCTGCGACATGCCACCTCGTCCGACTGGACAGCGGGGAGGCGGCATCGCGCTGAGAGGGGATCACGGCGCAGCGGAGGGACAGGAAGAGCGGAGGCGCGGGACGTACAGACGAGGGGCCACGCGGAGTGGAACGCGCCGGCGATGGAGGCGGTGGTGACGGCGCTGTGCATCATGGCGGCCAGCGCCGCAGCCCTGATGTGGCGGCGGGGGGACGGGGTGCGGTGGGATGGCGAAAAAAAATGAAGCAGGCGAAGCAAGGCGCAACAGGCGTGGCTCGCGGGGGGGCATGGAGCATGGTGCGTGATTTGGGGTGCATGGCGGGAGGGAATGTGTTGGGAGGGGAACGACGAGGGTCATGGAGTTCTGCTATTGACGACAAGAGGTGAAGGAAGCGGGGAGTGGCAGCGCAGACGGTGAGAGGCGTACCATCCAGCGGCCTGCGCGAGGTTGTACGCGGCGAGATACGATTTTGTCAACGACGCCATGTTGTGAAGAAGGGAAAACCAGTTTTTGGTGGAGCTGTAACTAATGTAAAAGTGAACCAAGGAGGGTTAGTGCTTCAGATGTTTCTCAAAGCTACTGCTTTAGGTAAGCTCGCTTCGTCCTTGTTGCTCTGCTACGCCTCAAGAGCACTCGCGCGTTTTGCGGTTCTTGCTGGAATTTGAACACGAAAGTTGAGCAGTCGGTTCGGAGGTAGAGCCAAAAGAAGGAAGATTCACCGACTTGCCCCAATTCCCCAAATTCTTTCCGTTGATGCGATGATGCGACTCGACGAGTTAGTCGCAACCTACAACACACCACCACTTCACACATCGCTACCACCAGTAAACACCTCGGCGCACGACGTCCACGAATTCGCACGAAATTCCTTGCTGAAAATTGAAGGTGAATGCGAGTGGCTTCCAAAACAAACGGAACGAATACGAGTCGCAAGTTGTCGTGATGGGCGTCGCACGCAAAACAAGCTTTGAGCGGAATGCGGGCGCCAAAGCATTTTCCATCAACCCGCGCAAATACACGACCAAAATCTGCGACAGGGGAAATTCCGTTTTTGTTGGCCAAGCCGTTGCGAATACTTGCCGAGATGGGGTAACTTGTTCGTTGAGAAAACGTGTGTTACAGAAACTTGATGATACATGCCTACATCTGATAGTTCAGGAAGTTGCTGCATGGGCCAATATCACTAACGAGGTGGTGTTTAATGAATTAGCGCTTCACAAGTCCGCACTTCAGCTGCATGCAAATTCTTGTTTTGAGACGCCCAGGAGATTTTCAAGGTTCCCGCTTCTTCTTCGCAGTTATCATGCGAAATCGGACGGCACTCGACGCGCGGCAGCATGGCTCGATCCAAGCAGCGGGGGAGGCAGTCGACAGAGGCAGCACTCTCCGCGGGTGGCGATGGCGCAACCCCAATCCTCCTCTTCCGCATCGTTATTCCCGAGGTAAGAGAGGATACGGGGGAAGCACTAGTTGCGGTTGATAGCCCGCGACTCGCGATTCTTGCACGTCGCGACCTGCGCAACCCCAATCTTCCTTCCTGCGTGCTCCTTTCCGTCTGTCCGTGCTCGCCCAACCGGGGTGACCGCGCGCCGCTCACTCCACGCATGACCCTCGTGTCATTCCGCATCACTCAAACCCCCTCACCGCGTCGAATCCCCTTCATGGCGTCGCACCCTCTTCGTCCCGCGCCTCACGCTGGGCCGCGCGGTGCCCAGCGCCAGAAGAAATCGTGGCAGACCGCCTTGTGAGCGTCAAGTGGGCGGCAGCGGCTGTCCTCTTCCTCTTCTTCGGCTGCCCGATCTTCCTCCCCGCGCCCCCGACCGACTGCCAGTACCTCGCGCCCTTACTCCCCCCCTCCGCCTCCGCCTCTCCCCCCAGCGCCCTTCCGCCGCCCTCCCCCCTGCACCACTGCGCCATGGGGTATGCCGCCACCGCAGGCGTCGTGGGCGGCGGAAGGCCAGGGGCAGCGCGGTACGTGGTGACAGTAGCGGATGATGCTATAGAGGGTGCGCCCGAGGGGAGTCTCAGGTGGGCAGTGGCAAATCTTGGCGGAGGAACTGGGGGACGGGGGGAGCGGCAGGGGCTGTACGTGACGTTCAACCGGTCGATGACGATTCGGCTCAAGTCGCGGCTGTTCCTTGCGTCGCACACCACGATTGACGGACGCGGCGTGCGCGTGAGGCTGCTGGGCAACGGGCTGGTGCTGCAGAACGTGACCAACGTCATCATCCACAACATTGAGAGTGAGAAGCAGCTTCTGCCACTGCCCAATCGCCTCCCTACTACAAACTTTCCCAATGCAAGCCAGGCCACTTCCCCTAACCAATTCAACTGCCTGTGATATTCGTAGTCCCCTTCTCATCGTGTTTCTCTCGCTCTCCTTGCTGGTCCTTTGCAGTTGGGAACCAGCCTGGGGATCATGACGTGCTACCCATTCGCAGCAGCCAGGTGGTGTGGATCGACCACTGCCACGTCTACAACGGCCACCGCGGCACTGTAGACATCGTATACAACTCCACGGATGTGACTATATCGAATTGCCGCATCCACAACCACCGCTTGACCATGCTCCTGGGGGCGGACGACTCGCATGAGTACGACCGCAACATGCGTGTTACGGTGTATCGCAACTGGTTTGAGAAATCCGGGCAGCGCCAGCCGCATTGTCGCTGGGGGCAGTGCCACGTGGCGAATAATTTGTACACCGATTGGGCGTTCTACTGCCTTGGTGGGAGAGTCTTTGCTAAGATTCGGTCAGAGGCGAATGTTTTCCGGGCAGGGCGGGCACGGAAGGAGGTGACTCCGTGGTTTGGAGAAGCAAGCTTGACGACTCCTGGCTTTGACAATACGCCAACAATCCTGTCTTATGGCGATTTGCTGTTGAATGGAGCTACCTTTCACCAGTTTGAAGGGAAGGAGCCCATGTTTGATCCGCCTTACCGGCTTCCTCTCTATGATGCCTCGGCTCTTATGGAGACCTTCCTAAGGCAGAGTGCCGGCCCCCAGTACCCATTGAAATTCATTAGGTCCTATTTTGATTGGGATGCCTAAACAGTTGGGATACCATTAGCGGTGTAGCTGCTTGCTGAGCAAAGCACTGTAGATTATCCAAGAACTGCGATGCACGAAATTGTGTTCGCGATCATGCCAGTTCAGGCACGTGCCTTCGTGTGTCAACAACAGGCCACGTCTGTCGCAAATCGTCGTCTCGTAGTCGCAGGCAGGTTTTCCGGGGAAGCAATCCTCCCCGCCCTGCCCCACAGCCGCCCAGAAATATTCCCTTCCGCCAGCCTTTCCCCGTTTCCCCTCTCCGCCAGATCTCCATCTGCGCGGACTTGGCGCTGACAGGCAGCCAGCCACACAACCAACCAACCACAAGCTGCACTGTACTTGGGGTCGCGTGTTTCATAAGACCCTTGAGAACCACGTTATATTATGAGGAACCCAACTGAACCGCATGATGCAAACCTGATACGAACACCTGAATGCCCCTTCTTTTGGCACCCCAAATATACTCAGACCTAGAGCTTTTCCATTCTATTCCTAGATTTTACCGTCTTCTTTACGTTTTGTGCTTCCACTCCGTCTAACCCTAGATTTCGTTATTCTGTGACTGCCGCTCGCGCTTCGAAGTGCTCGTCTCAGCATGGCGTCTCGTGGAGGAGCAACGCCGTCTAAGGGTTGCCTGCAGCGGCTACAGCGAGAGATGAAATTAATCACCAAGGTGCCAATGATCGAAGTGCCATCCTGGCAATGAAATTAGTGCTGCCGCTTGAGCCACCGAGCCGCCGCTTTCGCCGTGGCCTATGGTTCTCGTCGCTTTCTCCTCGAGTTCACGATGATAACTTGTCGCGCCACCGGCTTCTGTCGATTAGGTTCTTTTTTAATCTCCCATTCGGTGAGCGGTTGGTCTAAGCCGGACTCTCCTTTTCCTCCCGTTCGTTGCGGTGCGACCCGCATCGCCTCTATTTCAGGAGCCGCCGCCGCACATCCGCGCGAGGCCGAACCCCGCCGACATGCTGGACTGGCGTGAGTGGCCGCTCCAGCATATGCGTTCGCACTGGCCGTCCCTTTCAGCTCTTTCCGCGCGCTCCTTTGCTCCTTTGCTTCCGCCGTCATCCCTGTCCTCCTGCTATCATCTCGCCGTCGTTCTTCCCCTGGCTTCTCACATTGTTCACTTCCACGTCAGCATTCACATATCTGACGTCACCACCTCCAATGTTTTACCCACTTCAAAGCTTTTTTCTCTCTTGCCAATCACCACCCTCTCCACCCACCCCCTCCCCCCCACCCTTCCCCCCGACTCCCCTCCTTTCCCCGTCCTCTCCGCGCGCCAGACTTCGTGCTGGAAGGCAGCCCCGGCACGCCGTACGAGGGCGGGTGGTACCACGGACGGCTCAGATTCCCCGCCGACTACCCTTTTAAACCGCCGAGCATCATGATGCTTACCCCCAACGGACGATTCGCCACCAGCACTCGCATATGCATGAGCATGAGCGATTGTGAGTGGGGCAGGCGATTGTGAGTGGGGCAGGCGATTGTGAGCGGGTGGGCGACTGTGAGTGGGCGGGTGACTGTGGTTAGGCGGGCGACTGTGGTTGGGCGGGTGACTGTGGTTGGGCGGGTGACTGTGGTTGGGCGGGCGACTGTGATTGGGCGGGCGACTGTGATTGGGCGGGCGACTGTGCTCCTTTGCTGGTTCAGCTCTCCGTCAGGGTTTCCCACTGCTTCTCGGCCGTTTGCCTTGTCGTTCCGTGGCTTGCCAGTTCCGCGCACATGCCTCACGTCTCGTATCCCGCTGACTGCTCGTGCCTCCCTGTGTGCGTTGCCATGGCTGTGTGCAGTCCACCCCGAGACGTGGAACCCCATGTGGTCCGTCGCCAGGTACCGCTCTCCCCACTCCCCACGCCCTCGCTCTCCCCACGCTCTCGCTTTCCCACGCCTTCGCTCGCTCCATGCCTTCGCTCTCACCCCATGCAATCAATGCACCTGACGCTGCACTTGCTCTGCATTCTCGCGTCAAGCTCCACAGCGTGTCTGCCCACGTTCGTTCATTTGCGGATTGCAAACTTCTGGTGTTTTCTGCCATGCCACCACACCTCTCCACGTCCATGTGGCCTGTGCTCCATCCATCCCATCCTCACTGCATTCAACCCCCCCACACCACCGTCCATTGCCCCTTCGTTTCCCCGGCAGCATTTTGACCGGCCTTCTCTCCTTCATGGTACGTTTTGACCCGGCTCTGTGATTTTGCAGTGTTGCGCGTGCCTTCGTGGAAGCACCCGTAGGCACACACTCACTAGCATCTCATGCAAGCAGGCTGTTTGCAGACTGCTCACACGCGCGCCATTTCTCATGCGCAATTACAATTACGCGTTTTTCAAAGTCTGGTTCGGTGCTGTGTGGTGCAATGTGCATGCTCTCACTCACTTCCATCCATGCCATGCCTGCCTGCCTGCCACCTTATCTGCGCTCCCTGCTCCCTGCCCGCCTCTCCCTCTGTGCTCCCCCCTCCCCTCTGCGTGCTCTTCCCGATACAACCAGTCGGACGATGCAGTGACGGCGGGCAGCATAGTGGCGTCGGAGGCGGACAGGCGCAAGCTAGCACGCCTCTCCATGCCCAACAACTGCCGCAGGTAGGATCCGCCCTTGCTGCCTTGACCTCCATGTCCCATTCCCGTTGCCTCCTCGCGTTCATTCCCGTTGCCTCCTCGCGTTCATTCCCGTTGCCTCCTCGCGTTCATTCCCGTTGCCTCCTCGCGTTCATTCCCGTTGCCTCCTCGCGTTCATTCCCGTTGCCTCCTCGTGTTCATTCCCGTTGCTTCCTCGCGTTCATTCCTGTTGACCTCCTCTCCATGTCGCACCCCCGTTCCATGAGGATTCCTCTTAGCAATTCTTAACCAGTTGGTCAGCAGTGCACTTCTCGCTCTTCACTTCGCTCTTTCTCCCATTCTCCTAACGCACATCCCATCCCTCCACCCTCCGCAGCCCCGTGTTCCGCAAGCTCTTCCCCGACCTGGTGGACAGCTACACGGCGTCGCTGGCGTCGGCAGCAGAGGCAGCAGAGGGCTGGGCAGATGGGGCCAGCAGAGCACAGGGGGAGGGTGCGGAGGGGAGAGGGAAGGGCAGGCGGGTGGTGGAAGCTGCTGCTGGGGTGGTGGGCGGGCGGGAGGGGAAGGGCAGTGAAGGGGGGAGGGAGCTGAGGGTAGGAGGTCAGGGAGGGGCAGAGAGAAAAGAGGGGGGGCATCGGAGGGTGGGTAGAACAGGAGGGAAAGTGGGTGCCGCTGTTCCGTTTAGCGCAGGCAAGGCAGTAGAGGCAGGTGCGGCAGGATCAGGCAGTGCGAGTGGGAAGCAGCAGCCGGGCCTGTCAAGCTTGTCCTTCTGGGTGACTGCTGCCGTTGTGCTGCTGTGTGGGTGCGTCATGGCGGTGCCCTTCCTTGATTCCTTGTCCTCCTCCCTGCTTCGGCTATCTTGACAGCCGGCGTGTTGCATGGCATTTACGATTTTGTTTTCATGTTGTGCTGTACTTGCATATCTTATGACATGAGTTCAAACCGTTTGTACTTTCTGTAATTAATCAATTTATGAATATATGTAATACGTAGTTGTTTCGTAGCGGGATAAGCTTGAATCGCAGGTTTCATTTCCCCAATCGCGGCGCAACCTCCCAGTCCATCTCCTACCCCGCCTCACTCTCGTTGCGAGGCTGCCGTGCCGTGCCCTACGCGTGAACAGCGGCTGAAGCCCGCTGCTGCATTTTCAACCGACGCCCGCTTCACCTTCCCTTCAATCCGCGCACCTTGCAGTCCTTGAAACCTCTCAATCCTCCTTCATATCTCCAAGTTACCAGTCATGACAGTTAGACACGTACCGAGGGTAGCACTGCTGCCTGCCTCGGCTCATCATTCGCGTTCGTCGCTTCTCTTTATCCGCAAGTCTCCTTCACCTCAGCACTCTCCAGTTGAAGCCACCTGCAGTCGCTGCGTTCCTGCAGATTCAAGTCACGAAAACCAATCGCGCGTGCCTCTTAGGGCTGTCTTGTTGATCTGCCATCCTCCCCGCGCCACGCCATGAAGAGCCCCAGCGCACAGCTCTCGCACGCGCTCACGCGCATCCACGCCGCCATGCACCGCCCCTCGTCCCCCGCGCCTGCGCCGCCATCATCCCCGCCGCGCGCGGGGAGCCCTCCTGACGACGCCACGCGACGCTTTGCGAGTCGCCGAGCGTCGCAGGAGCGCACGGCGGAGTTGCTCCAGCAGTCGTTCCGACCTAAGGTGCTGCCATCCGCGCCCGCTCACGCCCGCGCGCCCATTCCGGGGTTGCCTGATGGCGTCGGCGGGAGCGAACGGCGGAGAGGCGCGATGAGAAGCAGCAGCGGGCCGCGGGAGGGACGGTTTGGGGGTGGGCCGCCGCGGGGGACGGAGAGCCCCACGGCGCCGGGACGCGCGACGCTGAGGAAGCAGCTGTCGAGCGACATCGCGCCGCTGCTGCTGCGACTGAAGCGGCAGGCGACGCCCACGCGCGTCCGCAGCCAGTCGCCTGTGCTGTCGCCCGTGCAGTCGCCACGGGACGTGTGGGAGGCTGCGGAGGCTGGGAAGCTGTTTGATTGGACCAGCAGGGACACGGAGTGTACCAGTAATGCCAAGTCAGCGAGGGCGGTTGTTGAAGAAGTGGAAATAGGTTCCTCACGCACAGCGAGGCCTGCTATTACAGTTGTGAGGCGGACGATTCAAGCCCAGTTGCTGGGGCAGCCATGGTCCCCAAACAGCACCCTGGAATTACCCGATGATGACCTGTCACTGTGGCGAGATGGGCAGTCCCAGGCCTCCTGTTGCCACCAGGATTCACCGGGATGCACGAGCAACGTGCGGCATGTATTGTGTGAGAGGAATCATAACCGGCATACATTGTGTCAACGACGCTCCGGTAGCCCAAGTGCTCCACTAAGAAGTGCTTCCTGCGAGGCAACCCGCCAGGTTCTGGTAGGGAAACCGTCAATTCAATCTAGAGGGAGGGGACGGCTTGCAGGAACTATCACTGCAAGGCAGCAAGGGGTGCAGGACCAGCGGCCACGATGGAGTTTATGACTTTAATGAGCGGAGGGGAAGCTTTGTATACAGGTGTGCATTCTGAAAGCATATTAGGGGTACCAATACATTGTAATACTAGCTTTGTTTGTAGGAATTAAGATAAGACTGGATAGGCTACTTGCTGTGCTGCAATATATGCTACCTAGTGTGACTACCTAGACAATAAGTGATATACAGCAAGATGAGGTGTTCCATCGGAATCTTCCAGGCCCAATGTACAGTGGTATATATTTCTCCTCGGGAGAATGGCACAAGTTTTGTCTGCGAGCTCCGACCAATCGTCAAGCGGCAGCTTGCTTTCCCACGGAACTGCCGAGGCTCGGCTGACCTACAGGGTGAGCATCAGGCGAGGCGAGTCGAGGCGAGACCAAGCGAGGTGAGGCGAGGCGAGGCGAGGCGAGGTTAGGGTAGGGAAGGACCATAATGTCAGCAAGAGCTGTCAAGGCGTGACGATTTTTTGCTAGAGTTTGGCGTGACGATTCTAGAAGTCTGCCGCTTATTTTCCCAGTTTCTTATCTTTACAGCGTCCCGTACCTGCTCATCCACGCATCGCTCAACGCCTTTCACCAGTCATTTGCACTCTTCGCCTGACGTTACGGACGAGCCGATAGCCCTGCTCTTTTACGCTGAGCTGCGAGCCCCGGTGGAAGCGCCATGGCGGATGAGGTGTCGCTCGCTGAGCAGGTTCGCTCTGACGTTCTCCTTTCGAGTCTGATGCTTCTATTATTTGACACATTCAGGTCCCGATTCGTCAGCTTAGCGTGACGAACTGGCTGTCACCTTGCTTCCGACTTTTTCATGGATTTTATTCATGGATATTCTTCGTTTTTCTTCGAGTGCATATGTTCCGCGTTCCTGTTCCTTCCTCATGCGTCCTTGCCTTAGCTCCCTCCTAAGTAAGCCGTGACGGTTGGCGATCTTGTATGCACTCCCTCCCCCCTCACTTGATCTCTTGACATAAGACCCTTGCGGACGTGCTCACTGGTGGCGTGCGCCACCATTTATGCTCCATGATTTAGGCCCAGCATACATGGTCCATAATCCATGATTCTTGATCCATGCACCTCCATCTTCTATCCATGATTCGTGCAGGAGGCTCGGCTGAAGAAGAAGTACGGGGGGGCTCTGCCTAAGAAAAAAGGACTGCTTTCCAAGGTGTTATGCCGACCTTCTCCCTTATCGTCGCTTCCATTATGATGCACTCTTTTGACCTTGTTTGCTGGTCTGCTTGCGTCAGCATAGCTTACGATTGGGCATTCTGTTCCATTTCTTCTTGATATCAAACGCATAGTCTTTCTGCTTCGACTCCCATTCGGCGGGTCAATTCCTTTCTCCAAAGAGCTCATGATTACTCACCCGCTAGCCACGCGTCTCCCGCCACGTGTACCTGCAGGGCCACGAGAGGGCCTTCTTCGACTCCGCCGAGTGGGCCATTCAAAAGGTACAATCGCGTCGCACGCATCACGTCGCATTGCATTGCATCCTGTCGCATTCGTCGCGTCTGCTTTCTGGCGTTCCCTTCTCAACTCAAACGTCCTCGCATCTGCTTTTTCTCCGTGCCTTTGGTGTGCCTCCACGAGCAGCAAAAGGGCGCCAAGCCGGCAGCACCAGCAGAGCAGGGTCTACAGCCGAAGCTAGAGGTACGGGGGCGTTCTAGGTTCCACACGTTAGGATTATGTCAAAATGAAAATGGAAAAGAACAAATTCAGTGTTTGCATGTGGTAATCCATGTATGTAAGGCAACGTGTACTCAATTGTATGCAGATATTGTTTCTGCAAGCATATGGCACCCTTGCTGCCCTCCTTGCTGGGTCAGCTTCATTCAGTTTGAGACTGACGTGCAGGGTCTGATATGCCTGGTATGTGGATTGCCATGTGTTGTGTGTGCATCCAGCCTACCCCACATCAACCTCCCACGGGTCGTCGCTCCGGACTGGCTGAAAATGACTCGTGACGTGGGGCTTGCTCTGGCACTCTGCACATGCCCATGGTCAGTGCTCTAGTGTGAATGGTGATCGCTTTGGCGCTGCAGCGATTCCGCTTTGTGCCGTCAACATTTATGGCTGATCTTTGAAGGTAGAAGTGCTTGGCTGAGTCTATCGCATTCCCTTCTCGCTCCGGTGCTGCTGCAGGCAACAGGGAGCTGACCAGGTGCTGCACCAACCTGTGGAACGTGATTTCTTCTGCTCTACCCATGACCCTCACGTCCTTCCCATGGCCTGACTTGTGCCCACCATGGCATTTCGCCCCCCCATACTGCCACTCCCAGCGCCTCCCGTCTTGTGAACATACATTGAGAGGCTCACACTAAGATGGCGGACATGTCACGACGTGCTTTCTTTTTGTCATTTCTCTTGTACAATTATCCCTGTACCGCTTGTGGTGAAAGCATTGGCCTACAGAGCCTGGTATGCATATTGCAGTGTAAGCAGAGAGTAGGTGCCCCAATCTTTGAGTCCACCAACAGTTACATCATAAGCAGAGGTGCTGAAGACTGGAATGTGGCCTCTTGATAAGTTCAGAATACAGCACCATACTCCAATATGAAATCAACTGCAAAATCACCATTATTGCTAAGCAAGCAGACAAGTGAGCCACACTTCCAATGCAGGAGTCCTATCAGTAGAAAAGTGGAGAGGCAGCACGCCTCACTAACAGCCCAGTCCATGGAACTCTGCATGAGTGGACCATTGTTTGTCACTGCGCCTCCCCAACTTGCCAGGCTGCGAGTCCTGCTTCCAGGCTTCCACGGCACCGCACGTCCCCGCACGCCCTGCTCACTGCAGCGCAGCTCTCTAGACCTCGAAGCCCCATCAGAGCCGCATCACCCATGTCCACTCTCTGCCATCTCAACCTTCTTTCAGCGGGTGAACCCAGATCTCACAATCAGCGCCACCAAATGCGGAATATATGCCATCCGACGGGCGTCGGGCGCTGGGGCGAACGGACGAGAGCATCCCGTCAAGCGCGAAGAGGCAGTAACTTCGTGAAGCCACTACTCGTACGCCACTGCCATGCATGCCCATAGGTGCGCCCATGCGGCTGCGCGCTATTGGTCGCTACCCTCGTCGCTGTCCTCCGCTGCGTCTTGCCCTGCCTGTTCCGCGCTCGCCGCTTCTTTCGCCCGCGCGCGCTGAATCGCCTTCCGCTTCCGCGCCGGAAGTGCCGCCAAAGCCTCCTCTTCCGCCTTCCGCTGTGCCTCCTTGGCGGCCTGCGCGCGGTCCCACTGGCGCTGGATCTCGTTGGAGTGGCGGCGCGAGAGGATGTATGCGAGCATGACGAGGCAGCTGGCCTGCACGGGGCTGATCAGCCGCAGCAGCGCCAGCACGCCCGGCACCACCGCTAGCAGCACGTACTTCCACTGCTGCGACCGCTTCACCTCCATGCCGGAACGCGGCGACGGTGTACGAAGGGCGAGGCCGTGAGGTCTGGTGATGAGCGAAACGAGTTGTGATTTGAGGTATTTTCTGAGCAAGAAACGAGTAAAACGCTGCTAACTATTTTGTGAGCGCGGCACGTGGGTTGTTGGTGCCCAAATCACGTGGGTTGGAGGGGGGCTTTCCGCCAACCCACGTCGAGCACAGCTGGTGAAACACGCACTTTGCAGGGGGGGTAGGAGTGTGCGACTGCGATGCGACAATGACGGGGACAACCACGTGTGCGACAACTGGAGGTTGAAAAGCGAAACACAAGTTTCACATGTTACTGTTACGACGGTCGATGTATACACGTGGCTTTAATTCAAAGCAACAGAGAAAGCACATATTTATTACTCATAAGCAGTGGAAGGCCTAGTTTTTAGCAGACATGGCTCTAGTCAATAAGAAAGAATTATGTACAAGAAATTGAAGAGCATGTTGGTTCTAGGAATTATGCACATAAAGGATGAGATGAGAGCATCTATAGTTCCTTGTCGGCTTGCCACTGCTGCCACACCCTTGAGGGCAGAATGATGAGGGATCATCGCTGACAGATGCCAAAGCAGCATGACACTGGAACACAAGGAAAGAAGAAACAAGAGAACTGATAAGCTGGTCGGTCAAAGGAAGGCGTTGAAGGACGAAATAAAAGGAGCAAATGGCAATTAGTGCACATGTACGGTACACACCTTCAGTCCTGTCAGGGGATGGCGAGGCGGCTGAGAGCGACACACACACCGTGCCCCTCCCTGCCTCCGACTCACACACCACCGCCCGCACCGCCTGCCCTCCCACCTCCACTCTCACCGCCACTTCCCTCCCCCCCTTCTCACTCCCCCCTTCCCCTTCCCTCTTTCCGTGCACCAATCCCACCCCGCACTCGTCTCCCGCCTCTTCCTCCCCCTCCCCCTCCTCCCCCTCCGTGCCCGCCGCCCCCAGGGGGCGCGGCACGATGACGAAGTCGGAGAGGGGGTCGTAGAGCGGGTCCTTGCCCCGCACCTCCAGGAAGAAGTGCAGCAGGCTGAACACCCGCGGCAGCCGCAGCAGCTCTCGGTGCTCTGCTCCCGGCACTCCCACTCGGAAGCGCGCTGGGAAGCCATCCGCCTGCCGTGTGTGCCGGGGTGGGTGGGGTTGAAGTGGGTGGAATGGAGGGGTGACGTGGCGGGGGGCCATTCAAAAACTTGAGAGGCAAAAGCATGGAAGGACGGGGAGGGAGAATGAGAGAGAGTGCAGCAGCAGACACACGACAAGGCGAGGCAGGGAGGGAGGGAGTGGGAGCAGAGAGCAGTGTGGCTTACGAGGGCGGACTCGATGGGAACGGTGCCGTCGCCGTGCACACAGTCAAAGGTGGCCTGCGAGATGGTGGGTGGGCGGGAGGCACGGGTCGACATGCAGGGTGAACGACGCTCACACTTCAACAGGGGAAGGGGAGGGCGAGCAGCACAGGAGGCGCAGGACAGAGCGAGCAGCAGGCGCGGGAGGTGGGGGAGAGGGGGGGGTGGTTGCAAAGGGGGTGGGGCAGGAGAGGAGCGGCTCACATCGGAGTGGAGGATGTCGGGCAGGTCGTTGAGCGGGTCCTTGGGCGACCCGTACCTGCCATGAGGGGCGGGGGGAGACAGCCATGCGGGCCGCAACGCAAACGATTACTGGCTTAATGCATATGTCAGGAGTCAAGGAATCGGTAACAGAAAAAATGAGTGCGGAAAGAAAGGAAGAAAACGGAAGGAGATGCAGGTAAAAGGGAGGGCGAGAGGGGGCGAGGGGCGCACTGGGAGTGGAAGGGAGTGTCGAGGCCGGTGCCATAAACAGTGTAGAAGTCGATGGACGGCGGCAGGCGCGCCCTGGCCCAGATGCGCCTCGTCTCGTCCGCCCACCTCACGATGTCCCGGTTGAACGGCAGCGGCACCGTGCGCCCGTTCACCTCTATCTGCATGCCGCACCGTGTGGGGGGCGCATGGGGCAGGCAGCACAGGTAATGCATGGGAGTGATGAGATACCCAGGGGACACATGGCACAAGGGGCACATAACATGGCTCGAATGGGTGCGAATGGACAGCAGCAGGGCAGAATGAGTTGCCCATTCGAACAGGAACATCAGCAACAATCTGCCTCACCTGCTGCGCCCCTCCCGTGTGCCCCATGCACCTTACTTCCACGCACCGCACCTTGTTGCCTTCCAGTGCTCTGTCCATGGCAGCGAGAATGTCCGGCAGGCGGGTGAAGCGCTCCTCCACCACGCCCTCGCCCACCACGCTCTCCATCACCGCCTCGCCCACCACCCTCCGCGGGCTGCCATCGCCCGCCACCGACTCTGCCACACTGCACGCCTCGCTGTCGCCGCCACTCCCACTGCTGCTGCCGATGCTGCTGTCTCTCTCGCTTCTAGTCTCGCTCTCACTGTCCGTCTCCGCGTCCGCTCCGCAACACACGTCCCTCTCCGCGTGCGCCTTGCTGTCGGCTTGGCGGCGCACAACGCGGAGCTCGGGCTTCTGGCCGCCCCAGTGGAAGTCGTAATCCGCCATGAGCTCGTACACCGATGGGCACTCCACCATCTGCCACCCGCCATGCGCACAGGAGAGGCGAGCAGGAGGGGCGCAGGGGGAAGGGAGATGGACAGGTCAGAGAAGCATCTAGAGGGGCTGGTGGGCGCCCCAGTGGAAGTCGTAGTCCGCCATGAGCTCGTACACCGATGGACACTCCACCATCTGCCACGCCAAGCCACATGCGCGCACGGACGGATGCGCGGAGAGGGATACGCGCACGAGAGTCGCAGGGGGAAGGGCGATGGTGCGGCCAGAGGTCAACTGGAGATGAGCAACAACGAGAACGTGGCGAAACAGACACAGGTCGCAGGACCCTTGGAAATGGCGAGCACATGATTCTTGAGCATTATTAACTAGTCAACAGCAAGAGAAGGAGAGGGGGGGTTGACGGAAGCGGAGGGAAAGAGGGGGGAGGGGGGGAGAAAGGGGAAGAGGGGGAAAAAGAGGGGGAAAGGGGGGGAGGGGGAGCGCGTACGAGTTGGTGCATGGTCCACGTACGAGTTGGTGCATGGTCCACATAACGTACGAGTTGGTGCATGGTCCATGTACGAGTTGGTGCATGCTCCACATAACGTACGAGTTGGTGCATGGTCCATGTACGAGTTGGTGCATGGTCCATGTACGAGTTGGTGCATGCTCCACATAACGTACGAGTTGGTGCATGGTCCATGTACGAGTTGGTGCATGGTCCACATAACGTACGAGTTGGTGCATGGTCCACTTGGAGATGAAGAGCGACTTCTGCCAGCCCTTGAGGAACTCCACGCCCGTCAGCAGCGTGTCCATTATGAACCCCGGCGCGCCTGCCACGCACGCGGGGGAGGGGAGCGGTGGGGGAGAGAAGGAGGGGAGAGGGAGAGGGAGCCCTTGAGGAACTCCACCCCCGTCAGCAGCGTGTCCATTATGAACCCCGGCGCGCCTGCCACGCACGCGCGAAGGGGATGAGCGGGACAGACAAAGGGGTGTGGGCGTGAGGCGAAGCGGAGGCGTTAATGCTGCCGGGAGGCTATGAGAGGGGAGGGCGAGAGAGATAAGAGACAGACAGCAGCGCGGGAGAGGGAGAGGGCGAGGAAGAGGTAGGGAAGAGCGGCAACGAACGACGCACATCCCGCAACGCTCCTCACGAGGGCAAGCCGACTGACACTAGCTGCGCGCTCATCCGCCAACCCCATGCCCCCCTTCTCTCCTCTCCACACCCCCCTCCCTCCCCCCACCCCCCCATTCTTCTCCCTCCCCCCCACAACTATCCCAGCTCGTCTCGGCGCGCACCTCGGAAGGGCGCGGCGATGGAGACCCACTTGCGCACGAGGCGCTTGGCGTCGGCGGGGTGAAGCGCGACGAGCGACTTGAAGAGCAGCCCGCCCATGCTGTGCGTCACCACGTCCACGCGCCGCCCGCTCGCCGCCACTATCGCCTCCAGCCGCGCGCGCAGCCGGTCCAACGTCTCCGGCAGCCTGCCACGTGGACGCACCAGGTGGCAACCGAGAAAGCGTTTACGGTTTGAAAGGTGTAGTTGACACTTAAAACTGTAATATAACTTTGAAATTCTTGAAAATGATAAAACAGGAAAGAGCAGTGCGGGAGGCGGACCGGTTGCTTTGGCGGAAGTCGTAGCCGAAGCCGAAGAGCGTCTCGCCGTCCTTAAAGCCCCACTTGCGCATCTCGACGATGGTGTGGTGGTAGTAGCACACCACGTCCAACGGTACCGACTGCCGCGGGGACCGAGGGGACCGGCGGGGATATAAATTGAAGGTTGCGATGACGTTGCAGATGTGAGACAGCGTGGGTGTGAGGCGCAGCACGGAGCATTCGCGAGCAGCGACGGCAAGGAAGCGAGCACTCGCTGGACTCGTAATCCACACTCAGCACAGAGAAGGCTTACGACGTGGAAGGTAAGAGATGCTCACGAAGCCAAAGCGACGAGGTGCTTACGACGTCGGGGTCGAGGATGTCGCAGCTGTAGAGCCCGTGGTTGTCGTCCGGCACCTCGATGTGCGACTTGTCGTCCAGCGACTCCGACTTGCCTGCGACAACCACACACCGTGAGCGGGAGAGCGGAGAGCGGGAGAGTGGAAAGAGCAGGTGAGCGGGTAAGAGGACTGGAAGCATGAGTAAAAAAATAGTTTCCGCAGTGGAAGAACTCTAACCTGTTTTAGAATTGTATTTGGACCAAAGCTTTGTGCGGAACTCCTGATCCGCGTTATAAAGTCGGACCCATATCCGTTCCTTCGTCTTCCCATCTTCGCTGACCGCGTTAAGAATGGAGCCTCCAATCCCCGGTATAAGCAGCACCGGATTGAGCTCCCCTGCCGTGTCGTGAGGCTTCGGACGCGGCTTCGGCCACCACGGTCGCCAGCCAACCATCGCTGCACTAGTTTCTTCTAAGACTAGCCTCTAAGGCAACTAATGAGGTGAAACCCTAGAAGAGTGGTTGGCTTGAGTGAACCGAGAATGACGGTTCAAGTGGTGGAGGGCATGGCAGGATGGAGGAAGTCAGGAGGGACGCAGAGTTGGGTTAAGAGCACAGCACCGCATCCCACCGATTAGATTTTACAGTGTGGTGGTTTGGTTTGGAAATTGGAATGAACCAGCGAAACTGGAGGGGAGCGTTGTGTGGTGGAGCGACGCTGCGATGGCTGTCCGAACCGAAGCACTTCCCTCCCAAGCCTGACATGCTCTGGGCTCAGCTCGCCACTCGCCTTGCTTCGGATTCCCGTCAGGCGGGCACCTGACGGACAGGGAACAGGTGCTGCTGATGACAGGCTTGTGTGGCTGGTGAGGCATTGGCAGAACGTGGCGAATTGTGGCGAAGGCTGATGTCCCGTCACCTATCAGGTTAGAGCAAGTACAATTTCGCGAATTCAAGCAAAATTCGCACTCTGTTGTAAAAAATAAACCTCGTCACTTTCGCAGATACGCTAGTGCGTAACCCTAAATGTGTAATCAATCTGAGCCACATTTCTGTATTCCACTCTCAAAGCGACGGGCAACTTTTGGCAGTGTTGGGTTCAGAAGTTTTTTTTTTGAACCAGGCTTGCCAGCGCGAAAGTGCTGGCCGGCGAAAACCAGGATTTCGTGCGGACACTTTCCATCCGCAGTAACAGTTCGCCAGGGTTCTGGGTTTTGGGTGGCAAATGTGCACCGTCGCTAGGAAAATACTAGGAAAATTAGGTGCAGCCAACCCATCGGGCTCCTCGTAAGTCTGTCCGATTGCTGGAGCAATGCTGGTGTCATCAACTCGATAAAGCTAGGCATTGACGCGCGGCGACATTTCGCTCATGGCGTCCCTTCAGCCGCGCCACAGCGGCTCCCCCAAGATCGCGACGCGATCGTCCTCGTCAGAAGGCGGCAAGCCTCGGTTTCTGTCGGCCGCCATGACCGCCGTCACGGAGCGCAACAGATTCACAGAGATTGTCTTCGCGGCGCTGCTGCTTTCCGCGTCGCTCCGCATCTGGCTCGACCTGCGCGTCCACGCGCCGCGTCCCACCGACCTCCCCTGCCGCAACGACGACTCGCTTCAGCCGGCCGACCAATCGGCGTCATCCGCGTCAGCATACATCAACGACAGCGTCGTAGCGCTGCCCGGCCGCGCGTGGCGGTTGCCGGCGGGGGTGGCGCGGGCGTACGGCGGGCTGGGCGACGGCAAGGTGGACCCGGCGCGGTTCCGCCTGCACGTGAAGGTGCTCGTTTTCGACCGCCCCGCGTACGCGCTCCGCTGCCTGCGCGCGCTGGCGGCGGCGCAGTACGACGCGGAGCCCGTCCACCTGGACGTCTTCGTCGACCACCCTTTCGCGCTGCGCGCCGACGCCGCGCCCTGGTCGCCGCGCGCCGCGAGACGCGTGGCAGCCTCCCATTCCCTCATGGCGCAGATCGACGCGTTCGCGTGGCCGCACGGGCCGAAACGCGTGATGTACCGATCGCAGAGCGCGGGCGTGCAGGGCCAGTGGGTGGAGGCGTGGTGGCCGGAGAGCCTTGCTGACGTGGCGTTGATGGTGGAGGACCACGTGGTGGTGTCGCCGCTGTACTACCGCTACCTGAAGCGCCTCCTCGCGCGCTACTACTTCCGGCGCGCGGAGTTCGACCCGCACGTGCTGGGCGTGTCGCTGCAGCGCCAGTCGTTCGTGCCCGGGCTGGGTGGCGACCCGCTCCCCCCGGTGGCGCACGGCGCGCCGTTCCTGTACGCCGTGACGGGCACGTGGGGGCAGGCGCTGCTGCCCGGGCCGTGGCGGCAGTTCCGCGTGTGGCTGGACGAGCGGCGCTACAACGGCTCACGGCAGCCCCTTGTGGGCGGGCTCAAGACCACCCAGTGGTTCCGCGACAAGGTGGGGGGTGGGGAGGGGAGGGGAGGGGAGGGGAGGGGAGGGGCAACGGGGTGAGGGAAGAGGTGGGGAAGGGAGAGGTGAGAGGCGATGGGGATTTGAGGTCATGCCGTTGTGTCATCGCCCTTCACGTCCCTTCCCTTCAACCATCTTTCTCCCCTCCCTCCTATTCCCCTCGTTTGCATGTGGGCAGGGCAACAGGAGGTGGTCGCCGTGGGCCATCAAGTGGGCGCACAGCAGCGCCATGCTCTCGCTCTACCCGCCCCTCCCCGCCAACCTCTCCCTCGCCTTCCCCCTCAAGCGCGCCGCTCCCCCCTCAGACGCCCCCCTCGTGCCGCTGCTACCGGGGATGGCCACACCAGGGGGGAGGGCTGCGCTTGGGGGCGCGGGTGCTGGGGGCGGGGGCACTGGGGGAGAGGGTGGGGAAGGGGGGGTGGAGGGCGCGGTGAGGGCGTGGATGGAGGGGCCGCTGCCGGGCATGGCGCGGGTGAGGCGCTTCGACCTGTGTGCTCGTGAGCTGCCCCACCTGCCCGTGGGGCACTCCCTGCCCGACCTGCACTCCCTGCTCTCCGCCGTCGCCCAGGTGCACTGCTGCTCTGCCCTCCGCTCTGGCCTCCGCTCTGCTCTCTGCTTCCAACCCGTGCGGCTATGGGGGCAATGCGCCGCTCATGCCATGCCGTGCCAAGGATTCATTGCTGCTCTCTGCTCTCCCCCTCTCTCCTCTCCCCTTCCACCCCACCCCCGGGTGTGCAGGACAAGCGGGTGTCGCTGGTGGTGGTGCCGCGGGGCGGCAGGGACGAGGTCAACAACTGGCTCTGCCACCTGGACGGCAGCGGCCTGCGCTCATTCGTCCTCATCGTCCCCCACGCCAGCCTGGCAGCTGAGCTGTCGGCGCGTGGCTTCGCTGCCTTCCACCTGCCACCACTCAGCAGGCGCCAGGTGGCACAAGGGCTGGGGCAGCTGGCAATGAGGGGAGGGGTGAAAGCAGTGAGGGAGAAGGAGGGGTTGGAGGAGGAGGAGGGTGAGGAGAGGTGGATACTGGCGGCCAAGTGGAAGGGGAGGGTGAGGGGGTTGAGGAGGAGGGAGCAGAGGAGGGTGTGGAGGGAGGGGAAGCGCGCAGCAGGTGGACGGCTCGGCACATAGAGGTGGTGGTGGCAGCGCTGTCACAGGGCTTTGATGTGTCTCTAAGCAACGTGGATGCCGTGTGGCGGGGCGACCCCATGGCTACCGAGGCTCTCGGGCTCATCCCCGCTGACGTGGACATGTGGGGCCACCTTGATACTGCTGACGTGGCATCCAGCTTCTTTGTGATTCGTTCTCGTGCTGCTACAGTCTCGGCGTGGGGCCAGCTGGCGAAGCTGTGTGCACAGGCGCCCAAGGGGGGAAGCAAGGGGGACTTGGACAAGGCGGAGGTGGGGTGTGGGGAGCCGGGGAGTGGCGTGCAGCAGAAGCAGATGCGGGTGCTGCTGACTCAGGCAATGCATTTCAGGGAGGTGGATTCGATACCCTTTGGACGCGATGGCGCAGTGCGCGTGCCCAAGGGAACGTTGCTGCCTGCTCTACTGCCACCTCAATTCGCAACAAAGGGGAAGAAAATCAGAAGTATGGATATGATTGGGCTTTGGGTGATAGATGATTCTGACCTTGTTTGTAAAGCTGTAACTTGCAAAAGGAAGCTGTACAACCCTGTTTAGGTTAAAAAAATAAAAATAAAAAAAAAATCCTGTCTAGGATTCAGTTCAATGCACAGACAGAACTCTCAGGACGCGCAAGTCTAATAACTAAAAATCACATTCAGGGTAAAGAAATTACTTCTTTGCTGGTTTTGATTTAGATTAGACCATCTAATTCTGGATTGTGCCTCATACTCACTGTTCTGACTGTGTAGGAGTGAATCACCACTCTGGCCTTCAGAAACTCTAAACGCATTGCGCCTATATTGCTGAGTTCTGTTTGGGCACTATACGAACCTCGCCAATCCGTTGATTGGTTCAAAGTTTTCGTCAAAGACCGTGAAGCGTCGCCAGAGGTTGGTTGGATTGGAGGTTGCTGGCAGTTGTGTGGCTGGGAGGGCAGGGCAGACGACGCGCGACAGCGAGCGGATGTGGCGCAGTGCTGGCATTGGGAGTGACGGTGAGGCGGACAGGGCGTCATCTGAAATTCGCGTTGTTCAGTCGAGCCGCGTATCAGGGGGGAATGAGCCCTGCCAATAAATGTCGAGGAAATGGTGCAATGTGGAATGTCAAGATGCATGCATCACGGTTTTACAGTGCTGGTGCTGCCATGGCTGCCGTGCTGCAACCACACACACGTGACTTCTCCGAACCTGGCACAGAAACCCGTCCCAATCCTTATTTTTTTCCCACTTTGCTGCGCTGAAGAGCTGGATTCTGCCTTTCCTGAATTCTAAAGCTTCTACTTATCTTCTGTTGCGCTTGGTCGCACTTGCACCCACACGTCAATAGCTGTGCAACACCGATAGCCTGTTAGCTGAACGACGAAGTAGCTAGAATGAACGTGACTATGGCGAGCCAATCAATAGCGTCACAGCAGTGGGTACCGCCTGCTGCGGCGCGCGCGGGGAGGCGGAGCAAGTGCTCGTGGGGGCAATATACCCTTCAGTGGCGGGCGGCGAATGCGGGGCTGAGGAGCCGCGAGGTGCAAAGACCGTCGGGTGAGTGTCGGCTCCCGCTCGCACGTGTGCGTACGCTACCTCATGTCGCTCGGCCTCCCTCCCGAGCATCGCATGCAATGGCTTCCTTACCGCGCTACGTGTTGCCCAGACTCCACTGCGTTCGATTGACTGGCGTCAATACGCTATCCGCGCTGGATTTCCCGTTGAATTTTGCGCCTTGCCATTCCCGCAAATTGTGCTGGATTTCCCGTAATTGGCGCCATTACACCGCGCAGCTTGAAGCATTTAAATTAAATCTCGCCTTCCACTGTGTTCCCGCAACGTTCCAGCCATTCACTTCGCAGGCCCGGCCTTCAAGCGCCCGTGGCATCGACCGGCGGCATCGCCGCACGGCGTGAAGGCGCTGCGAGTCCGCGCCGCACTGAGCCTCGATGCCGCACGGTGAGTTGCTTCCGTCGCCGTCGCGCTGCGGCCGTCAAATCTCCACGGTTAAGCTATCCCTGCCACACACCCACTTGTTTCTTCGCGCAACGACTCCTTTTGTCGCCCCCCTGCTGCACGCTGATTCTGCCTCCGCAATTACGCCACATCTCTTTTTAATCTCCGCGCTTTCCCCCCTCCAGTGGCACCGCGGCGGTCGACCCCTTCTCGTTGCTCTCTGCCGTTCCGCCGCTCCGCGCGCCGTCTTTGGAGGAGGGCGCAATGGGCATGACGATGGGGGAGAGCCTCGCCGTCACGGTCGAGGCGGCACGCGGAACCCGCCGGGCGGAAGAAGGATATCCGGGCGGGGCTTGCGCTGCTTCCGGCGCGCCCTCGACGCCCAACCGGCTGGTGCGTGGGCGTGCCGTCTGTGCCGCGAACCCTGTGCTCTTCCGCTGCCCATCTCCTGACCTACTTGCTATAACCAGCCCCCATGCCCCGTGACCCACCGCGTCCCCTCCCCCTCCCTCGCCTTTCCGCCCTCCCGCCCTCCAGGCGTCCCGGCTAGGCGTGCTCTTCTTATCGGCCGCGGCGGCAGCAGCGGCGGGAACTAGCATGCCCGCGCAGGCCGTGCAGGCGGAAGCAGTGCGGTCGGAAGCCGCTCAGGCGGAAGCAGCTTGGGCGCAGGCAGTGCAGGCGGAGGCAGCAGCGACAGCAGTGACGGCACCACCAGAGGCAGAACGGCAGAGCGCAGCAGTCGCGTGGCAGCTGCCGCCTGTAGCGGTGGTTGCTGCTACAGCCGTGCCAGCTGTCGGTCCATCTGGAGGCAGTCGTGCTCCACGTAAGCAGACAGCTCAGCAGCACGTGGCAGCGCTGGAGGGGCGCATGCAGCGGATGATGGCGTGGGTGCGCCAGGGCAGGCGGGGGCGGGCGGAAGAAACGGGGGAAGCGGGGCGCGAGGGGCGCGAGGGGCAGTCAACGGCTGAGCAGCAGGCCGAGGTGAGGGCAGAATCAGAAATTGCTGTCGCTTTGCTGTGCCTTTCGCCCTTTCCTCCTTCATTTGCCATCCGCCCTAGCTTAACCATCCGGCTCACTTCGTGTCACCAACCGTCCCTCTCCGGCTGTTCGCCCCCCCCCCCCCCCCCGCCCCCCCCACCCCCTCCCCCTCTTCCCTTTTCCCTTCCCCTTCCCCCACCCTGCAGCTGCGGCGGCGAGTGGCGGGGGTGGTGGAGGGGCGCAGGGTCACTAGGCGGAAGCAGCGTGGGGGAGGGGGGGGTGGGGAGGGCTCAGGGGGGCGAGGGGCAGTGGGCTTGGAGGAGGTGGGCAGTGGAGTGGGAGGAGCGCGGTTGAGAGAGGTGGGAGGAGAGGGAGTGCGGTTGAGCGACGGTCCGGAGTGGCTGAAGGGGGTGGCAGAGCAGTACGGCATGGCGCTGCCGGCAGCTGTGGGGGCCACCAGGGGTGGAGCAGCCACAGCCGCAGCAGCCGATCCAGCAGCAGCAGCGGCGGCGTCGGTGGTGGCGGGGAGGGTGCTGGCGGCGCTGAGACAGGCGGAGCAGTCCACTCGCGCTGCAGCACCCCCACACCCCGCCACCGCACCCGCCTCTACTCCACCGCCCGCGGCAGCAGCCCCTGAGAGCAGGGCACAGGCGATGCAGGCGGCACTATCGCCCCTCCAGCAGAAGCTGGTGCGTCGGGGGGGCAAAGAGGAGAGGAGAAGTTTCAGAGAGTTGTGATGGTCATTGCTGACGCGCCCCTCGTTGCACCATGCAGCCCTCACCTTGGTGTGCCTCGTGCATCATGCCCCCTCGCCCCTCTCATATGGCGTGCCTCTCGCCTCCTTTGTGTGTGTGTGTGTGTGTGTGTGTGTGTGTGTGTGTGTGTGTGTGCGCGCGCGTGTGCGTGTGCGTGGTGCATGGTGCCTGTGGAGCACAGGAGGAGGCGGAAGCAAGCAGGCAGCGGTACGAGGCGGCGGTGCAGTGGACGGAGGGGCGCCTCTCAGCGCTCGCCACGCTCGCCCTCACCACCACCACCCACCCGCCCTCGCCCGCCCTCGCTGCCTCGCGCACCCACCTCCTCTCCTCCCTCGCCTTTGCCCAGAAACGAGCAGCTGAGGTGCGCATAGGCGGGGTGGTGGGATGGTGATGGTGTGATGAGGATGGCTGGATTGGAAGGCGTGATGGATGCAGAGTGAGGGTAATGCATGCATGCAGCGCGTGATGTCATGCATGGGCATGTCATGGCATGAGGTATGTGCTGACCTGGTGACGGCTGAAACTCTCCTCCTCTGCCATTCCGCCCTGCGTGCGTGCAGGAGGAGCAGCGAGTCACCCAGCTGCGCCAACAGCTCAGCAACAGCCGCACGCTCTCACAACCCGCCTCTCCCTCATCCTCCCCACCCTCGCCCCTCTCCACCGCACTGCCTCCTTTCCTATCCACCGTAGCCCAACCTGCGCCTCCGCCTCTCCTGCCCACGCCGTCATCGCCACCAGCACTGCCCTCCTCCCCGTCGCTCGCGACCCACCCACGGGTGCCGCGCTCGCTGTCGCAGCCCTCACGGGCGCTCTCCCATGCCTCATGGTGCCCCACCGAGGCCGCTCACACCACCCAGCCCTTGACCCACGACAGCACCAGCCTCGCCAGCACCCATGCTGCCCTGAGCATTCTCCAGCAGGTGCGTTGCACTCCCTCACTCCTCAGATGCTTCTGCCCATCGCAATGTGCCTGCCCACACCTCGCACGCACCATGCTCATGCCATGCTCTCTGCTCATTTCTTCATTTTCCTTCCCCAGGCGCCGGTGCTGGTGGAGGGAGCAGGGGGGGGCGAGTGGGCGAGGGAGTTCGTGGCGGAGTCGGTGGCCAGGGAGCTCAGCAAGCGCCGCACCACCCATGGCCACGCCGCGTGACGTGTGTGACGTGGCAAAGGATGCTACATTACTCGCGAGTGTTACTCTGAACATAAGCTGTAGTTTAATGCCTTCTCATTGCAGCATTCGGCCGGGCACACGTCTGTACAGGATTCACATGTTTGTTCATGCCAGACCCATGTGAAATGCAGATATCATGGACGAACTTGGTCTAGTACTTTATGCTATGTCATTTCACTTACGCACACACGGGAAATATGCTAAGATTGTAGATGCTATATATCCAAGGCCACATTCCAGAGTGTTTTGCCTTACAACAGCTATATAGTTTCATTGAGCCGTAATGATTTTGATAGTCTTCGGTACAAGCAATCTTTACTTGGAAGCATGTCTACATTGATAGTAAGGGTGATTGAACAAGACTGTATCGGTCATTTTGTCGGAGAGTGTTGTTTCGAAACAAGTGGATCTGCCAACACACAGAACGGCTGCCTTGTGGGCCAATGTTGGTGCTCGCGCCTTTGGCGAATGGCGGGTTTGTTTTGCGCACAATGCTGCTGCGGTCAGGGGAGAATCTTCCAATGGAACGCTGGCTTACTGCCCTATCGGAACCCTTGGAGCCACCAAAACCGAAATGTTGTGGTGTGGAGCGAAAGTCTTACTTCCGTGCTGCCCTGATTGGTGGGCTTGGGGACGAAAATAGTAAATAGGAAGGCAGTACGAGTGTACTCGAAAGGGCAACTGCATGTTCCCTGGATGGCGGGTTTTGCCATATCCTTGGCCCTTCAATTACTTAGAGAAACTCCCATCCACTCCCCGCTCGAAACCCCTTGCGTGTTGAGTATGGAGGGAAAATGAGCTCTGTAGTATTTTGTATTCTGGGGAGCACTTGACTGGATTCAAACAAACTCATTTCAAGATACACAGTGGCGAGAACACCCTCCTGGAAAATAGGGTACGGCGCACCCCAAGCGTCCACATGGGCAATTCCAGCTCAAGCTGTTCTGGGCTGCCTGGTTCAACTTCACGTACGTTTTCACATTCTGCAATTCCATCCAGTCATGGCTCCACCTTCATCATAGCTTCAGTGGTTCTCGACTGGCGTCAGTGCTGTACGATAATACTGTGACGAGAGTAGCGTCCACGTTCAGCACGGCGCGGTGTGGTTCACAGACGCGAGCACCTGGCGCTGCCACCCGCACCCACTCCACTGCAACCACAACGCCACCCACCACAGCGATGGTCCCATCCCTTCTCGACCACCATCCCGTTCGCATCGTCACATTTTTTCGCGCAGCGCGATCGGTAGGATAGGCACGATTAGGCCGTTCATTCGTTACGTGCACGCGCCATTTCTGGGAGGCCCACCCGTCCTCGTGTGGACTGCCTGCGCTCCACTCCTCCATTCCGCGGAGCTCGCGGAGCGGAAGGTCTTTCTCGTTCCTCTGAAGCTCCCCTCGCGCCTGGCCCTCGTCGTAGCGTGGGGCGCCAGCAGCACCGCGAGGTGCATGCGTGCGGCACTAGGCGCGCGAGCCCGCCAGTAGAGCGCGCGCATGGATCCCGCCGCCCCCTCCCCGAGCGGCGACCGCCCGGCGACAGGCGCGGCGGGGGAGGCGGAGAGGCGGCAGCGGCAGCGCGTGAAGCGGGAGGTGTGCGACGAGGTGGTGCGCAAGCTGCGCGAGGCGCGCCACCCGAGCGCGCAGTCCAGCGGCTTCGATGCCGACCTCCTCGCGCACTTCAACCGCCTCCCCACCAGGCGAGTCGCGCCATTCCCAGTTCCCGATCTGGGGACCCTCTTCGCCGCGTTTCGCCGTCGTTCGCACTCGCACATCCCCATCGCCGGCATGCGATTGGTGGGACCCGTCGCACTGTCACTCTGTCTGACTCGTTGTGTGCTTGCCCGTGTGCGGTGTGCGTGGCATGGCATTGCATGACATTGCACGACATGCCGGGACGGCGCGCTTGGCGGCGGCAGATACGCGTTGGACGTGAACACGGAGCGCGCGGAGGACGTGCTGACGCACAAGCGGCTGCTGGAGGAGGCGGCGCGCCTGCACGGGCTGCCCGTCTTCTTCGTCCGCGCCGTCCGGGTACGCGCGCGCGCCCGCTGCCCCCCGCCCGCCTCGCCCCCACTCGCCTCTGCTTTCATCCCTTATTACTCTTCCCCCGTCTACCCCAATTCCCGCTTGTTCTTAAAACCTGCTTGGCGCAGCGCAATGCGCGCGGGCGCAAGTCCGCCGTTGAGGCTTCCCTATGCGCCTTCCCATGCGTGCGCGTGTGCTCCCCCGTGCGTGCGTGCATGTCGCCATTCCCCGCAGATGGCGGCAGCGGGCGGCGCAGCAGGTGCGGAGGAGGCGGGGCAGCACGCGAGCATGGACACGGACGACCACCACCCCGCCTTGCCGCCCCACGGGTAACCGACCCCGCCACTGCTACCCCGCGCCCCTCCCCGCTTCCCCCCTGGCCTAGTTGCGCACCCCTCGGGGTCCTTCATCGCCCGTCTCTGCATGGCCCCCACATGCGTGCACCTCCTTCCCTCCCCTTCCCGCCAATCCGCCTCGTCCCTATCCTTTGCCCTTTGCCTCGTGCAACCTTCAATTGTACCTCCATTTTTCTCCTTTCTCTTTCACAACCACCCACCTCCCCCCCCGCCCTGTTCCTCGTCCCCGGTGGAGCAGCGCGCTAGCGCCGCCAGCGTTCGGGTCGTCGCCGAATCTGGACGCGCCGGTGGCGGGCGGCGGGCACGGCGCTGCGGGCGCCATGGAAGATGACCGCCCCAACTCGCTCAGGTGGATGGGGGGGGGGGGGGCACAGGCGGCGTGGGGCGTGGGGAGCGTGGCGTGGGGCGTGGGGAGCGTGGCGTGGGGCGATGGGGCGAGGCGGCAGTGGTGGGAGTGAGGGACTGCGAGGCTGCAGCACCCGTGGCGGGGCCAGCAGCGTGTGCCGTGTGGCGGGCTGAATGAATGACACACCCGCCATGCATCCATCTGCCTCACATCGCATCCACCCCCGCTCTCCCTCCTTCTCGCCTCATGCCTCTCCCTCTCTCCTCCCTCCCATGCGCCCTCCCATACGCCGTTCCCTGCGCCCTGCCATGCGCCGTGCCATGCGCTCTACCCGCCCCCCATGGCAGTGCGCCGTACCACAACGTGCCCATGCACGAGGTCACCTTCTCCACCTTCGACCGCCCCAAGCTGCTCAGCCAGGTGCGTCTGCACTGCTTCTCCACGTGCGTGATACGTGCTGCTCAGCCAGGTGCGTCTGCACTGCTTCTCCACGTGCGTGATACGTGCTCAGCCAGGTGCGTCTGCACTGCTTCTCCACGTGCGTGATACATGCTGCTCAGCCAGGTGGGGTGGTAAGCGCTGAGGCCAGCTGCTCAGCACAGCGTCAAATTCTCTTCCTCTAAACCTTGTCTTCCCCTAGAACTTCCCCATCACCCCCCTCCCTCCCTCCCCCCCGCCACTCCCCCCATGCGCAGCTGTCAGCAGTGCTAGCGGACGCGGGGTTGAACATAAGGGAGGCGCATGTGTTCTCCACGTCCGACGGGCTCTCCCTCGACGTCTTTGTCGTCGACGGCTGGCCCACCGAGGTCTGCCCCCGTGCTCTCACCCCCTTGCTGCCACTCTCCATGCTCTCACCCCCTTGCTGCCACTCTCCATGCTCTCACCCCCTTGCTGCCACTCTCCATGCTCTCACCCCCTTGCTGCCACTCTCCATGCTCTCACCCCCTTGCTGCCACTCTCCATGCTCTCACCCCCTTGCTGCCACTCTCCATGCTCTCACCCCCTTGCTGCCACTCTCCATGCTCTCACCCCCTTGCTGCCACTCTCCATGCTCTCACCCCCTTGCTGCCACTCTCCATGCTCTCACCCCCTTGCTGCCACTCTCCATGCTCTCACCCCCTTGCTGCCACTCTCCATGCTCTCACCCCCTTGCTGCCACTCTCCATGCTCTCACCCCCTTGCTGCCACTCTCCATGCTCTCACCCCCTTGCTGCCACTCTCCATGCTCTCACCCCCTTGCTGCCACTCTCCATGCTCTCACCCCCTTGCTGCCACTCTCCATGCTCTCACCCCCTTGCTGCCACTCTCCATGCTCTCACCCCCTTGCTGCCACTCTCCATGCTCTCACCCCCTTGCTGCCACTCTCCATGCTCTCACCCCCTTGCTGCCACTCTCCATGCTCTCACCCCCTTGCTGCCACTCTCCATGCTCTCACCCCCTTGCTGCCACTCTCCATGCTCTCACCCCCTTGCTGCCACTCTCCATGCTCTCACCCCCTTGCTGCCACTCTCCATGCTCTCACCCCCTTGCTGCCACTCTCCATGCTCTCACCCCCTTGCTGCCACTCTCCATGCTCTCACCCCCTTGCTGCCACTCTCCATGCTCTCACCCCCTTGCTGCCACTCTCCATGCTCTCACCCCCTTGCTGCCACTCTCCATGCTCTCACCCCCTTGCTGCCACTCTCCATGCTCTCACCCCCTTGCTGCCACTCTCCATGCTCTCACCCCCTTGCTGCCACTCTCCATGCTCTCACCCCCTTGCTGCCACTCTCCATGCTCTCACCCCCTTGCTGCCACTCTCCATGCTCTCACCCCCTTGCTGCCACTCTCCATGCTCTCACCCCCTTGCTGCCACTCTCCATGCTCTCACCCCCTTGCTGCCACTCTCCATGCTCTCACCCCCTTGCTGCCACTCTCCATGCTCTCACCCCCTTGCTGCCACTCTCCATGCTCTCACCCCCTTGCTGCCACTCTCCATGCTCTCACCCCCTTGCTGCCACTCTCCATGCTCTCACCCCCTTGCTGCCACTCTCCATGCTCTCACCCCCTTGCTGCCACTCTCCATGCTCTCACCCCCTTGCTGCCACTCTCCATGCTCTCACCCCCTTGCTGCCACTCTCCATGCTCTCACCCCCTTGCTGCCACTCTCCATGCTCTCACCCCCTTGCTGCCACTCTCCATGCTCTCACCCCCTTGCTGCCACTCTCCATGCTCTCACCCCCTTGCTGCCACTCTCCATGCTCTCACCCCCTTGCTGCCACTCTCCATGCTCTCACCCCCTTGCTGCCACTCTCCATGCTCTCACCCCCTTGCTGCCACTCTCCATGCTCTCACCCCCTTGCTGCCACTCTCCATGCTCTCACCCCCTTGCTGCCACTCTCCATGCTCTCACCCCCTTGCTGCCACTCTCCATGCTCTCACCCCCTTGCTGCCACTCTCCATGCTCTCACCCCCTTGCTGCCACTCTCCATGCTCTCACCCCCTTGCTGCCACTCTCCATGCTCTCACCCCCTTGCTCCCTCTCTCCATGCTCTCACCCCCTTGCTGCCACTCTCCATGCTCTCACCCCCTTGCTGCCACTCTCCATGCTCTCACCCTCTTGCTGCCACTCTCCATGCTCTCACCCCCTTGCTGCCACTCTCCATGCTCTCACCCCCTTGCTGCCACTCTCCATGCTCTCGCCCCCTTGCTGCCACTCTCCATGCTCTCACCCCCTTGCTGCCACTCTCCATGCTCTCACCCCCTTGCTGCCACTCTCCATGCTCTCACCCCCTTGCTGCCACTCTCCATGCTCTCACCCCCTTGCTGCCACTCTCCATGCTCTCGCCCCCTTGCTGCCACTCTCCATGCTCTCACCCCCTTGCTGCCACTCCCCATGCTCTCACCCCCTTGCTGCCACTCTCCATGCTCTCACCCCCTTGCTGCCACTCTCCATGCTCTCGCCCCCTTGCTGCCACTCTCCATGCTCTCACCCCCTTGCTGCCACTCCCCATGCTCTCACCCCCTTGCTGCCACTCTCCATGCTCTCACCCCCTTGCTGCCACTCTCCATGCTCTCACCCCCTTGCTGCCACTCTCCATGCTCTCACCCCCTTGCTGCCACTCTCCATGCTCTCACCCCCTTGCTGCCACTCTCCATGCTCTCACCCCCTTGCTGCCACTCTCCATGCTCTCACCCCCTTGCTGCCACTCTCCATGCTCTCACCCCCTTGCTGCCACTCTCCATGCTCTCACCCCCTTGCTGCCACTCTCCATGCTCTCACCCCCTTGCTGCCACTCTCCATGCTCTCGCCCCCTTGCTGCCACTCTCCATGCTCTCACCCCCTTGCTGCAACTCCCCATGCTCTCACCCCCTTGCTGCCACTCTCCATGCTCTCACCCCCTTGCTGCCACTCCCCATGCTCTCGCCCCCTTGCTGCCACTCTCCATGCTCTCACCCCCTTGCTGCCACTCTCCATGCTCTCACCCCCTTGCTGCCACTCTCCATGCTCTCACCCCCTTGCTGCCACTCTCCATGCTCTCACCCCCTTGCTGCCACTCTCCATGCTCTCACCCCCTTGCTGCCACTCTCCATGCTCTCACCCCCTTGCTGCCACTCTCCATGCTCTCACCCCCTTGCTTCCACTCTCCATGCTCTCACCCCCTTGCTGCCACTCTCCATGCTCTCACCCCCTTGCTGCCACTCTCCATGCTCTCACCCCCTTGCTGCCACTCTCCATGCTCTCACCCCCTTGCTGCCACTCTCCATGCTCTCACCCCCTTGCTGCCACTCTCCATGCTCTCACCCCCTTGCTGCCACTCTCCATGCTCTCACCCCCTTGCTGCCACTCTCCATGCTCTCACCCCCTTGCTGCCACTCTCCATGCTCTCACCCCCTTGCTGCCACTCTCCATGCTCTCACCCCCTTGCTGCCACTCTCCATGCTCTCACCCCCTTGCTGCCACTCTCCCCCCCTTTTGGAAAGCAACGCATAGCAAGGGTCACATGACCAGTCAGCAAAAACAAGCAACGGTCACAAGACCAGTTCACAAGAACACAACAATCTCAAGGTGTATTTCAACGCCACATAGTCCTAAAACAAGCAAGAGGCCACAAGGCCAGTTCACATGCAAAGATATAGCAAATATAGAGAGTACAATGCAAAACATCTCTACGCAAGCGAGGGCTTATATATACAAACCCCAGCTGGGTGTAGAAACATTAGTGGTCACAAGGCGGCAACACCTTGGTGAAGATATCTACAGTGTTGGTGGCCACGCTTGTGAGAGTACGACGGCTTTGCTGGACTCTACTTGCATTATATCTTGATTTCCTATGTTCGTTGCTTTTACTATAGCTATTATAGTTATAGGCACAGAACTAGGTTGAGTGCACCAAATTCTGGCTTTTCGGTTGCCACCGAATTGCCTTCTACTGAATTCGGGAAGGACCTGTTTGGGACGCTTCGCTACCCGCGGAACCTTCTAGTAATGTCAAACTTATATGCTATAGTCTGTGAAGGCTGCAGTGGGGTAGTTCATATGGGGTACAACACTTTAGGGTTTCCTATTTTTGTGACTCTATGCCCTACTACGCCCGCTACCCCTATTGAGCTCTCACGGTTCCCTCGTCGCCCCGTTTCCTTGCCTCCACTCCTCCTCCTGCTCCCGCCCCTCCGGTACGCCTGGCCCCTACTGGTCCTGCCCCGTCAGGTGTGTCACGCTACCCCTCTCCCCTTGGTAGCAGGTCAGGTACCCCCCATTTCCCCACCATCGTCCTCACAGACACCGCAGCAGCCTTCGACACTTCCGCGACAGGGTGCAGTGGACTCTAGGGGTATTGGTGTTGGAGGCACGGACGCTGGAGGTGCTAGTTCAGGGGGTGCTTGAGCTGAGGGTACTGGTACCATAGGTGCTAGTTTTGGAGGTGCTAGAGCTGAGGGTACTGGCACAGGAGCTGCTAGTTTGGGGGTGCTGGAGCTGAGGGTACTAGCACTGGAGGTGATAGTTTTGGGGGTGCTAGAGCTAGAGGCGCTCACGCTGGGGGTGTTGGAGCTATCGGTGTTGGCGTTGGGGGTGCCAGTTATGGAGGTGCTAGTTTTGGGGGTGTTGGAGTCGTCGGTACTAGCACTAGAGGTGCTAGTTTTGAGGGAGCTGGAGCTGGAGGCGATACTTCTGCGGTGCCTAGTCCGCCTCCCCACCGCTACCCGATGCGTTTTCAGGAGCTTTGTCGGCTGGAGCTTGAGGAGCAGGAGAGGTTGGAGCAGGAGAGGCTGGAGCTGGAGCAGCAGCAGCGGGAGCAGCAACAGCAGGAGGAGCAGCTGCAGGAGCAGCCGCAGCAGCAACAGTAGCCGCAGTATTAGAAGTAGCAGCAGCAGCAGCAGTAGCAGCAGCTGCAACAACAACAACCGTAGCAGCAGCCGCAGCCGCAACAACCATCTTTGTAGCAATTGTATCCACATGTGAGTGACCTTCGGGCCCTTGGCCTACCTTCCCCTCCTTCATACCGCTCCCCGTCTCCTCTTGTTTCTAGTCCTCTGTTACCTCCCCCGGACCTGTCTCCGGCTGTTTTCTCTCCTCCTCGGTCTGAGTCGCCTCCTTCTATTGTTCCGCACACTTGGGCTACTCATTGTCCTCGTTGTGCTCATCCCTCGTCCCCAGTCACCGACCTCCGCTCTGTCCAGTTTCATTCTAGCCCTCCTCGTTCTCCTCCTCAGCCTGTTCTCTCGTCACCTACTGAGTCGTCCCTTACAGCCACCTCCTCTCACCTTATCACTGACTACTACAATGCTGCTCGTCCTATTGTCACCCATGTTCTCGCCTCGATTGTCACTAACCCTCGTGCCTCTCCGTCGTCTGTTTCGGCTCTTTCTGCCGTTGTCGTTAACTTTGCCGTCACCCGCCGCCTTGAATACGCCACCCGAACGGTGGCTGCTCCTCCTATCCGTCCTCTGTTCACCGAGGGTGAGTCTGCCTTTGGTTGTGACGTCCTAGAGGACAGGCAGTTTGAGCTGGTGTTCTTGGCAACTGTTTCTCCCCATCTCTGTGCCATGCTGCTAGCCTTTGAGGGAGACCCCAATGCCCTTGACATACCAGCTTCTCGCACGTGCCGTGAGGCAGTGTCAGGGTAGTGGGCCTCTTAGTGGATAGCGGCCATGGATTCAGAGATGGCGCCTTGGAGATCCACATTCACTTTCGTCGACACAGTTCCCCCACTTGGGGCGAACGTAGTCGATGGCATGTGGATCTTCGAGGTCAAGCAGCCATTGGGATCACCGCCTGTCTTCAAAGCGTGCTACATGGCAAGGGGCTTCAGTCAGCGCGAGGGAGTTGACTTCTTCGAGACGTTCGCTCCGACCCCGAAGATGACTATTGTTCGTGATACTTCACGTGGTAGCACAACAAAACTACGAGCTGCACTCCCTTGACTTCTCCACTGCCTTTCTCTAGGGGCTGCATACACGAGGAGATCTGGCCACACCGACCTCCTGGCACCACTAGCACTTTCCCGCTTGGGACCCAATGGAGCCTGAGGCGACCAGTCCACGGTCTCCGCCAGGCGCCCCGTGAGTGGCACGATACACTACGCACCACTCTTGCTGACCTCGGGTTCCGTCCTTTGTCCGCTGGCCCGTCGTTGTTTATTCGCACTGGTTCCACTCCATTCTTCGTTCTTGTCTACGTCGACGACCTGGTCTTCGCTACACCAGACATGGGTCACTCTGGCTGAGGTGAAATCCAAGTTGTGAAAGAGACACACGTATACTGACCTGGGTAATCTGCACCATTACCTTGGCTTGCAGATCACCATGGATAGAGCCGCTCACACCATTACACTCGCTCGGTCACACATGGTGTATCAGGTCCTTCTGCGGTTTGGGTTTCATTTCTCCACCACACAGCACACTCCTCTTGTCGTCGAACACAGACTCATCGGCCCTTACACCGACGCGCCCTTTGAGTCTAGTGGTCCCTACACGCTGTTAACTAGATGGCTACTGTGAGGGTGGCGAAGTGTCTGATGACAACATCAAGCATGGGGCTTGTGCTTGGAGGGACATAACCACATGTGCTGACCGGTCACTACGACTCTTCCTACGCCGACGATGTCGAGACTCAGCGGTCTAGTCAGTGTTACTGCTTCAACTTGGGCGCTGGAGCTGTATCGTGGAGGTCTACGCGGTCGTCATCTGTGTCGCTGTCCAGCACAGAGGCAAAGATCTACGCCGGTGCCATGGCTGCGTAGGAGCTTCGCTGGTTGACCTTCTTGCTCACCAACCTTGGTGAGCGGCCGAGCTTTGCACCGACCTTGTTCGCGGACAACAAGGCCATGATCCTCCTGTGTCAAGATCCTCGAATGAAGAGAAGAGTGAAGCACGTCAACGGGAGGTACTTTCTCCTGCGAGAGTTGCAGCGATGCGGCCAGGCACGCTTGGACTTCGTGGCCTCAGAGGCCAACACTGCAGACATCTTCACCAAGGCTCTTCCGCCTAGTGACCACCACAAGTTCTGTCTGCAGTCAGGCCTTGTTGGCGAAGGCCCTCGGTTGCTGTTGTCTTGCCTCTTGTTTTTTTCTCTGTTTGTCCTTGCATTTATATATACCTGTTAACTCTTGAACTCGCCTTGTGGTCGCCTGCTTGTGCTCAGACTGTGTGGTGACTTTGTGATCCACCCTGAGCTTTGCGTTGTTGCTTCTCTTGACTGGTCCTGTGACCATTTGTTTAGTCTGCTTGCTTTGATGCCCCTCACTTAGCCTATGGGGGTGTCTCAAACTATGTTATATAATTTAGATAGACTGTAATGAGTCATATCATAGGGGGTAGACAAATACTCTCGACACTCTTCTTGTATCTCTCCCCCTTTTACCCTAATCAACCATTCTCTCTATCTGCTTAGTTTCTAAGACTCTCCTTCGTCCATATACCGATCACAGCGCCACCTTCTCGGGCCGTGATCATACTCCACTGCTGTGAACTACTGACACCGACGAGCCCGACTACAAGATCCGTGCCATGCCTTCTTTCCTCCCGCTCTCACCATCGTCCGTGCCATGCCTTCTTTCCTCCCGCTCTCACCATCGTCCGTGCCATGCCTTCTTTCCTCCCGCTCTCACCATCGTCCGTGCCATGCCTTCTTTCCTCCCGCTCTCACCATCGTCCGTGCCATGCCTTCTTTCCTCCCGCTCTCACCATCGTCCGTGCCATGCCTTCTTTCCTCCCGCTCTCACCATCGTCCGTGCCATGCCTTCTTTCCTCCCGCTCTCACCATCGTCCGTGCCATGCCTTCTTTCCTCCCGCTCTCACCATCGTCCGTGCCATGCCTTCTTTCCTCCCGCTCTCACCATCGTCCGTGCCATGCCTTCTTTCCTCCCGCTCTCACCATCGTCCGTGCCATGCCTTCTTTCCTCCCGCTCTCACCATCGTCCGTGCCATGCCTTCTTTCCTCCCGCTCTCACCATCGTCCGTGCCATGCCTTCTTTCCTCCCGCTCTCACCATCGTCCGTGCCATGCCTTCTTTCCTCCCGCTCTCACCATCGTCCGTGCCATGCCTTCTTTCCTCCCGCTCTCACCATCGTCCGTGCCATGCCTTCTTTCCTCCCGCTCTCACCATCGTCCGTGCCATGCCTTCTTTCCTCCCGCTCTCACCATCGTCCGTGCCATGCCTTCTTTCCTCCCGCTCTCACCATCGTCCGTGCCATGCCTTCTTTCCTCCCGCTCTCACCATCGTCCGTGCCATGCCTTCTTTCCTCCCGCTCTCACCATCGTCCGTGCCATGCCTTCTTTCCTCCCGCTCTCACCATCGTCCGTGCCATGCCTTCTTTCCTCCCGCTCTCACCATCGTCCGTGCCATGCCTTCTTTCCTCCCGCTCTCACCATCGTCCGTGCCATGCCTTCTTTCCTCCCGCTCTCACCATCGTCCGTGCCATGCCTTCTTTCCTCCCGCTCTCACCATCGTCCGTGCCATGCCTTCTTTCCTCCCGCTCTCACCATCGTCCGTGCCATGCCTTCTTTCCTCCCGCTCTCACCATCGTCCGTGCCATGCCTTCTTTCCTCCCGCTCTCACCATCGTCCGTGCCATGCCTTCTTTCCTCCCGCTCTCACCATCGTCCGTGCCATGCCTTCTTTCCTCCCGCTCTCACCATCGTCCGTGCCATGCCTTCTTTCCTCCCGCTCTCACCATCGTCCGTGCCATGCCTTCTTTCCTCCCGCTCTCACCATCGTCCGTGCCATGCCTTCTTTCCTCCCGCTCTCACCATCGTCCGTGCCATGCCTTCTTTCCTCCCGCTCTCACCATCGTCCGTGCCATGCCTTCTTTCCTCCCGCTCTCACCATCGTCCGTGCCATGCCTTCTTTCCTCCCGCTCTCACCATCGTCCGTGCCATGCCTTCTTTCCTCCCGCTCTCACCATCGTCCGTGCCATGCCTTCTTTCCTCCCGCTCTCACCATCGTCCGTGCCATGCCTTCTTTCCTCCCGCTCTCACCATCGTCCGTGCCATGCCTTCTTTCCTCCCGCTCTCACCATCGTCCGTGCCATGCCTTCTTTCCTCCCGCTCTCACCATCGTCCGTGCCATGCCTTCTTTCCTCCCGCTCTCACCATCGTCCGTGCCATGCCTTCTTTCCTCCCGCTCTCACCATCGTCCGTGCCATGCCTTCTTTCCTCCCGCTCTCACCATCGTCCGTGCCATGCCTTCTTTCCTCCCGCTCTCACCATCGTCCGTGCCATGCCTTCTTTCCTCCCGCTCTCACCATCGTCCGTGCCATGCCTTCTTTCCTCCCGCTCTCACCATCGTCCGTGCCATGCCTTCTTTCCTCCCGCTCTCACCATCGTCCGTGCCATGCCTTCTTTCCTCCCGCTCTCACCATCGTCCGTGCCATGCCTTCTTTCCTCCCGCTCTCACCATCGTCCGTGCCATGCCTTCTTTCCTCCCGCTCTCACCATCGTCCGTGCCATGCCTTCTTTCCTCCCGCTCTCACCATCGTCCGTGCCATGCCTTCTTTCCTCCCGCTCTCACCATCGTCCGTGCCATGCCTTCTTTCCTCCCGCTCTCACCATCGTCCGTGCCATGCCTTCTTTCCTCCCGCTCTCACCATCGTCCGTGCCATGCCTTCTTTCCTCCCGCTCTCACCATCGTCCGTGCCATGCCTTCTTTCCTCCCGCTCTCACCATCGTCCGTGCCATGCCTTCTTTCCTCCCGCTCTCACCCCTTCCATCTCGTCTGTGCCTGCTGTGTCCCCGTGCGCCCCTATGTGTCCCTGTGTGCGCCATGTGTGCGTGGGCGCCCCGGCACGGCACGGCCATCAGGACGTGGTGGATCTGCATGCAGCCTTGGTGCGCGTGCTGCAGGTCAGCCCCAATCCCGCCCGCCGCTGCTCCACCCCTGCCTTTTCTACCCCCATGCAGCACCCTGCACCTAAGTTGGGCACTTACGTTTTTTGAGGTCTCGTAAACGTAAATTTCGCGAAATTTTACGTTTTCGTTTACGAACGTTAATTTTCGCGTAAGTCTGAGGCGGCCAGCGAAAAAAAAAAAAGGTTTCAGGTTTTTTTTTTTTTTTTTTTTTGTCTCCCTGGATTATGTACGGGTACCAGATACTAGTACTAATCCGCCGTGTGCCTTTCTAGAATAGCGACTTTACTAGGTATGGAGTGCCTTTTGAGTCCGTGAAAGTTTCAGATTCAGCGTTGACGAGTAGGAGAGGAATACGATAGGATACGAACAAGCTGGTAGGTTGACGTCGAACAAGATAGCGAATTAAGGAATTAGGTGGGAGGGAGATGACCGTGTTGTGTTAGGGAGGGGGAGGTGGGGGGGGGGGGGGGAGGGGGAGGAGGAGGAAGGGGAGGGGGAAGGGGAGGAGGAGGAGGAGGAGGAGGAGGAGGAGGAGGAGGATTTTATGTTTAGGGTATTATTGTTTCTTCAACGTTGACATGATGCCTACAGAATGAGTCTCTCTAGTACTCTGGTAATGTTTTTCCTCGGGCAGACCTAAAAAAGTTTTCAGGTGACCGTAAACGTAAGGCCGAATCCAGGCAACCGTTCATAAACGTAAAAAACGTCGTAAATAAACGAAAACGTAACAAACCGTAAACGTAAGATCCAACTTAGCCCTGCACCTCACTGCACCTCACTGCACCTCACTGCCTCACTGCACCTCATTGCACCTCACTGCACCTCACTGCCTCACTGCACGGATGCCATGTGGATGCACTCACTCCAGCCTTCGCCTGTCCCTTACCTGCTGCAATCACACGATGCTCATGCTCTCCCTCTATTGTCACCCTCGTCCGTCCACTCACTCACTCACTCACTCACTCACTTCCCACCGCCTGGCAGATGGGGGCGGGCGCAGCTCTCTCCATGCAGCCAGAGGCGTCCGGCCAGTCAATGCAGTCAATGCAGTCAGCGCCGGGCCCCGCGGGGTCGGAGTCAGCAGGCATGGGGGGGGCGGGGGCAGGGGGGCAGGGGGCGGGGTCGCACGTGTCGGGGGCGGAGTCACGGGTACCCATCCCCACGGACGGGCGGGACGACTGGGAGATCGACAGCCAGCAGCTCAAGCTGCACCACAAGATCGCCTCCGGCTCCTTTGGTGACCTGTGCGTCATGCTTAGGGTGCAGGGCACAGGGCGTTAGGGGCTGGGGTGCAGGGCACAGGGCGTTATGGGCTGGGGTGCAGGGCACAGGGCGTTATCGGCTGCTCGAATCACTTCTCTGTGCTTAACTGAAGCTGCTCAGTGCCGTGGTTGGTTGTATGTCTCGTGCTCACTTTGTGTGCTCCTCACTGCATGCAACATGGCATGGCATGGCACTGCATTGCATGGCATGGCATGGCACGGCATGGCATGGCACGGCATGGTATGGCATGGCACGGCATGGCAGGTACCGAGGCACGTACTGTGGGCAGGACGTGGCGATCAAGATCTTAAAGCCCGAGCGACTCAACGACTCACTGCAGCAGGAGTTCGCCCAGGAGGTGTACATCATGAGGTGAGGTGTGCATCATGAGGTGAGGTGTACATCATGAGGTGAGGTGTGCATCATGAGGTGAGGTGTGCATCATGAGGTGAGGTGTGCATCATGAGGTGAGGTGTGCATCATGAGGTGAGGTGTGCATCATGAGGTGAGGTGTGCATCATGAGGTGAGGCAGGGCTGTCCGATGGCAGTGTGTGTGTGTGTGTGTGTGTGTGTGTGTGTGTGTGTGTGTGTGTTTGTTTGTTTGTTTGTTTGTTTGTTTTTTTTTTTGTTCCTTTTGGGTTAACCCAAGAGGTTAACAGTCCCCCTTTTTCAGAATGCCAGTGTGATGAGATGTCAAGTGACCCACTCATCCCTGTCGTACTGTACGTCGTACGACTGCTCGCCCACCCACTCCTCTGCTACCATCACTCCCTGCATGCTGCTGCCACATGTGTGCCGCCCCAAATCGTACGCACAACCCTTCCCTCAACCTGTATTCCCTCACAGGAAGGTTCGCCATAAGAACGTGGTGCAATTTATTGGAGCCTGCACCAAGCCGCCTAACCTCTCTATAGTCACAGGTACATACGCTAACTAGTCACATGAACGGTATGCCAAAATCGTTTACTTATTTGAATTTGAAGCATCAATAATAATAAGGAATTCTGTAAATGTTACATTGTATCCTAGCCGCCAGCCTGTGCAATGCCATGCCATGCTGCCATTTCTCTCCCTCCATGCTTGGCCAGTGGCCACCACACTTGCCTTAACAAACCTCTCTCTTCCAACTGCCCCTTTCCCTACCCCCTTGGTGTGTGTGTGTGCGCGCGCGCGCGCGCGCGTGTGTGTCTGCGTGCGTGCGTGCGTGCGTGCGTGCGTGCGCATGCGTGTGTGTGCGTGTGACTAACCAGAGTTCATGGTGGGCGGCAGTGTGTACGACTACATTCACAAGCAGCGTGGCAGCATGCGGCTGGGGATGGTGGTGCGCGTGGGCATGGACGTGGCCAAGGGAATGGACTTTCTGCACAAGAACAACATCATTCACCGCGACCTCAAGGCTGCAAATCTGTTGATGGACGAAAACGAGGTGCGTGGTGTGGTGTGCGGTGCTGTGCGGTGTGCGTGTGTGTCTCGGTGCATGAGTGGGTGCTGCGTGTGGGAATGGACTTTCTGCACAAGAGCAACATCATCCACCGCAACCTCAAGGCCGCCAACCTCCTCATGGACGAGAACGAGGCAAGCCACCCCTCACCCTCACCCTCTACCTCTACCTCCTGCTCGCGCCCAGAGGGGAGGGCGGGTGAAGCACGTGAGGTGCTCGCCCCCAAGGGATGCATGGCATGGGGTCCGGGACGATGCTCGGTGTTGCTGCGGCCTGTGTTTTCTGCTCTCATTACCAAACATAATGTTAAATAAAACACACTTCTGGTTGGTACCGACGATAAGGTCGGATAACGTACTTATTTTTATTACCAAACCTAAAGTTACCAACTTTCTTATGCTTACTATCAAACAAACGGCCAAGAAACACAGTTATGGGTAGTACCTCACATAAGGTTAGTAATAACATATGTGGTCCCACCGCTCGTTGCCCATGCCCCATGCCCTTGCCCATGCCCCATCCCCTTGCCCATTCCCTCCCCCCTCCCTTCCTCCCTACCGCTGTCCCTCGCACAGGTGGTGAAGGTGGCGGACTTTGGAGTGGCGCGGGTGAAGGCGGGCAGCGGCATCATGACGGCCAAGACCGGCACGTACCGCTGGATGGAGCCCGAGGTGAGACCGGCACGTACCGCTGGATGGCGCCCGAGGTGAGACCGGCACGTACCGCTGGATGACGCCCGAGGTGAGAGGCAGGTTGGAGTGCTGGGTTATGCAACGGACTCGGGAATGGGCTAAGTACCTCAAATACAGAGAGATGGCCAGATTTTGTGTTCCTCCTTCTCAATCGTTTAAGCTCAGTGTGCGTGCGGTGTTTCCCTCTCAAGTGTCATGTACCATGCCATGGGTGAAGTCACATGTCCCATGCCATGGGTGAAGTCACATGTCCCATGCCATGGGTGAAGTCACATGTCCCATGCCATGGGTGAAGTCACATGTCCCATGCCATGGGTGAAGTCACATGTCCCATGCCATGGGTGAAGTCACATGTCCCATGCCATGGGTGAAGTCACATGTCCCATGCCATGGGTGAAGTCACATGTACCATGCCATGGGTGAAATCACATGTCCCATGCCATGGGTGAAGTCACATGTCCCATGCCATGGGTGAAGTCACATGTACCATGCCATGGGTGAAGTCACATGTACCATGCCATGGGTGAAGTCACATGTCCCATGCCATGGGTGAAGTCACATGTCCCATGCCATGGGTGAAGTCACATGTCCCATGCCATGGGTGAAGTCACATGTCCCATGCCATGGGTGAAGTCACATGTCCCATGCCATGGGTGAAGTCACATGTACCATGCCATGGGTGAAGTCACATGTACCATGCCATGGGTGAAGTCACATGTCCCATGCTATGGGTGAAGTCACATGTCCCATGCCATGGGTGAAGTCACATGTCCCATGCCATGGGTGAAGTCACATGTACCATGCCATGGGTGAAGTCACATGTCCCATGCCATGGGTGAAGTCACATGTCCCATGCCATGGGTGAAGTCACATGTCCCATGCCATGGGTGAAGTCACATGTCCCATGCCATGGGTGAAGTCACATGTCCCATGCCATGGGTGAAGTCACATGTACCATGCCATGGGTGAAGTCACATGTCCCATGCCATGGGTGAAGTCACATGTACCATGCCATGGGTGAAGTCACATGTCCCATGCCATGGGTGAAGTCACATGTCCCATGCCATGGGTGAAGTCACATGTCCCATGCCATGGGTGAAGTCACATGTACCATGCCATGGGTGAAATCACATGTCCCATGCCATGGGTGAAGTCACATGTACCATGCCATGGGTGAAGTCACATGTCCCATGCCATGGGTGAAGTCACATGTCCCATGCCATGGGTGAAGTCACATGTCCCATGCCATGGGTGAAGTCACATGTCCCATGCCATGGGTGAAGTCACATGTCCCATGCCATGGGTGAAGTCACATGTCCCATGCCATGGGTGAAGTCACATGTCCCATGCCATGGGTGAAGTCACATGTCCCATGCCATGGGTGAAGTCACATGTCCCATGCCATGGGTGAAGTCACATGTCCCATGCCATGGGTGAAGTCACATGTCCCATGCCATGGGTGAAGTCACATGTACCATGCCATGGGTGAAGTCACATGTCCCATGCCATGGGTGAAGTCACATGTCCCATGCCATGGGTGAAGTCACATGTCCCATGCCATGGGTGAAGTCACATGTCCCATGCCATGGGTGAAGTCACATGTCCCATGCCATGGGTGAAGTCACATGTACCATGCCATGGGTGAAATCACATGTCCCATGCCATGGGTGAAGTCACATGTCCCATGCCATGGGTGAAGTCACATGTACCATGCCATGGGTGAAGTCACATGTACCATGCCATGGGTGAAGTCACATGTCCCATGCCATGGGTGAAGTCACATGTCCCATGCCATGGGTGAAGTCACATGTCCCATGCCATGGGTGAAGTCACATGTCCCATGCCATGGGTGAAGTCACATGTCCCATGCCATGGGTGAAGTCACATGTCCCATGCCATGGGTGAAGTCACATGTACCATGCCATGGGTGAAGTCACATGTACCATGCCATGGGTGAAGTCACATGTCCCATGCTATGGGTGAAGTCACATGTCCCATGCCATGGGTGAAGTCACATGTCCCATGCCATGGGTGAAGTCACATGTACCATGCCATGGGTGAAGTCAAATGTCCCATGCCATGGGTGAAGTCACATGTCCCATGCCATGGGTGAAGTCACATGTACCATGCCATGGGTGAAGTCACATGTCCCATGCCATGGGTGAAGTCACATGTCCCATGCCATGGGTGAAGTCACATGTCCCATGCCATGGGTGAAGTCACATGTACCATGCCATGGGTGAAATCACATGTCCCATGCCATGGGTGAAGTCACATGTCCCATGCCATGGGTGAAGTCACATGTACCATGCCATGGGTGAAGTCACATGTACCATGCCATGGGTGAAGTCACATGTCCCATGCCATGGGTGAAGTCACATGTCCCATGCCATGGGTGAAGTCACATGTCCCATGCCATGGGTGAAGTCACATGTCCCATGCCATGGGTGAAGTCACATGTACCATGCCATGGGTGAAGTCACATGTCCCATGCTATGGGTGAAGTCACATGTCCCATGCCATGGGTGAAGTCACATGTCCCATGCCATGGGTGAAGTCACATGTACCATGCCATGGGTGAAGTCACATGTCCCATGCCATGGGTGAAGTCACATGTCCCATGCCATGGGTGAAGTCACATGTCCCATGCCATGGGTGAAGTCACATGTCCCATGCCATGGGTGAAGTCACATGTACCATGCCATGGGTGAAATCACATGTCCCATGCCATGGGTGAAGTCACATGTCCCATGCCATGGGTGAAGTCACATGTACCATGCCATGGGTGAAGTCACATGTCCCATGCCATGGGTGAAGTCACATGTCCCATGCCATGGGTGAAGTCACATGTCCCATGCCATGGGTGAAGTCACATGTACCATGCCATGGGTGAAGTCACATGTCCCATGCTATGGGTGAAGTCACATGTCCCATGCCATGGGTGAAGTCACATGTCCCATGCCATGGGTGAAGTCACATGTACCATGCCATGGGTGAAGTCAAATGTCCCATGCCATGGGTGAAGTCACATGTCCCATGCCATGGGTGAAGTCACATGTACCATGCCATGGGTGAAATCACATGTCCCATGCCATGGGTGAAGTCACATGTCCCATGCCATGGGTGAAGTCACATGTACCATGCCATGGGTGAAGTCACATGTCCCATGCCATGGGTGAAGTCACATGTCCCATGCCATGGGTGAAGTCACATGTCCCATGCCATGGGTGAAGTCACATGTACCATGCCATGGGTGAAGTCACATGTCCCATGCTATGGGTGAAGTCACATGTCCCATGCCATGGGTGAAGTCACATGTCCCATGCCATGGGTGAAGTCACATGTACCATGCCATGGGTGAAATCACATGTCCCATGCCATGGGTGAAGTCACATGTCCCATGCCATGGGTGAAGTCACATGTACCATGCCATGGGTGAAGTCACATGTCCCATGCCATGGGTGAAGTCACATGTCCCATGCCATGGGTGAAGTCACATGTCCCATGCCATGGGTGAAGTCACATGTACCATGCCATGGGTGAAGTCACATGTCCCATGCTATGGGTGAAGTCACATGTCCCATGCCATGGGTGAAGTCACATGTCCCATGCCATGGGTGAAGTCACATGTCCCATGCCATGGGTGAAGTCACATGTACCATGCCATGGGTGAAGTCACATGTCCCATGCCATGGGTGAAGTCACATGTACCATGCCATGGGTGAAATCACATGTCCCATGCCATGGGTGAAGTCACATGTCCCATGCCATGGGTGAAGTCACATGTACCATGCCATGGGTGAAGTCACATGTCCCATGCCATGGGTGAAGTCACATGTCCCATGCCATGGGTGAAGTCACATGTCCCATGCCATGGGTGAAGTCACATGTCCCATGCCATGGGTGAAGTCACATGTACCATGCCATGGGTGAAGTCACATGTCCCATGCCATGGGTGAAGTCACATGTCCCATGCCATGGGTGAAGTCACATGTCCCATGCCATGGGTGAAGTCACATGTACCATGCCATGGGTGAAGTCACATGTCCCATGCTATGGGTGAAGTCACATGTCCCATGCCATGGGTGAAGTCACATGTCCCATGCCATGGGTGAAGTCACATGTACCATGCCATGGGTGAAGTCAAATGTCCCATGCCATGGGTGAAGTCACATGTCCCATGCCATGGGTGAAGTCACATGTACCATGCCATGGGTGAAATCACATGTCCCATGCCATGGGTGAAGTCACATGTCCCATGCCATGGGTGAAGTCACATGTACCATGCCATGGGTGAAGTCACATGTCCCATGCCATGGGTGAAGTCACATGTCCCATGCCATGGGTGAAGTCACATGTCCCATGCCATGGGTGAAGTCACATGTACCATGCCATGGGTGAAGTCACATGTCCCATGCTATGGGTGAAGTCACATGTCCCATGCCATGGGTGAAGTCACATGTCCCATGCCATGGGTGGAGTCACATGTACCATGCCATGGGTGAAGTCAAATGTCCCATGCCATGGGTGAAGTCACATGTCCCATGCCATGGGTGAAGTCACATGTACCATGCCATGGGTGAAGTCACATGTCCCATGCCATGGGTGAAGTCACATGTCCCATGCCATGGGTGAAGTCACATGTCCCATGCCATGGGTGAAGTCACATGTACCATGCCATGGGTGAAATCACATGTCCCATGCCATGGGTGAAGTCACATGTCCCATGCCATGGGTGAAGTCACATGTACCATGCCATGGGTGAAGTCACATGTACCATGCCATGGGTGAAGTCACATGTCCCATGCCATGGGTGAAGTCACATGTCCCATGCCATGGGTGAAGTCACATGTCCCATGCCATGGGTGAAGTCACATGTCCCATGCCATGGGTGAAGTCACATGTCCCATGCCATGGGTGAAGTCACATGTCCCATGCCATGGGTGAAGTCACATGTCCCATGCCATGGGTGAAGTCAC